AAAACAAATAGATAGGTTAATAAAACTAAGTATGTATCAAAGGTAAAAATTATTTGTTAAAATTAAATATTTGAACATGCTTTCGTGTCATAGATTTTTATTTGAAAATATTCGTTCTAGGCTCCTTGAAATACTTTGACATATTTTCATCATATTTTTTATTTTATTTTTTTTTTAATAAAAAAAAAATATGTTTAAGCACATGTGCAGTAAAGGATTTCAGTACATTTTTATTTAACACGTGTTTAAAGACTCACTTTCGGTGTTTACAATGGATTAAAAAAATAGCGCTTTATGAGCAACTGCATTGAAAAACTCATTATAATACCGCTATCTTTTAGACTATATGGTAATGGTTGGTTATAGGCTGAATATAAAAAAAAAGCGCACGCATGCGCAGTTCGAACTGTGAAAAAAATGGCGCACGCATATATTACTTACTAGTAACCTACCTACTTTGTTTAATTTAAATTTTTCCTATGAGTAAAGATAAAGTAATGTATGAAACTGCATATATCTTAGGTATTAAAACACTCGAGTCAACCTACGAGTACTATCGCATTTGGCTTCGCCTTATGACTCGTGTTTTAATACCCCTTCTTATATGACAGTTGCATAAACTGCTATTTAAGACTATTCACCAAAGACTTATTTAAAGAATTCAGACAACCCCACGTTACGATTGTTACTTCAAAGCCAATTATCACGTATTACGTGACAAATGTAAGGTAGGCAATGAACCTCTCAGTGATTGCGAGACTATTCATGCATTTTAATTGCGTACGCATAAATATCAAGATAAATACATTTCAACATGTTCGACGGCCATCACGGCTAGTTTGCGAACGAACCGTGTGACTCGCAATTTAGTTATAAATTTTTCGGCAAAACACAATTGTTGTTTCGTGTCAATTATCGATCAACAACGCTGTTGCAATTAAATTGTTTGATTATTGATTCATATAATTGAGAATGTGTGAATTTTTTTTAGTATGCAAACTACTAATTAATTTTTCCTATGAGTGAAGGAAAAATTCTGCTTTTTTTTTTAATGAAAAAGGAAAGGGTTTTTAAAAATTACTGTAATTATATTTAAAAAATCTTACACCAATATGAAGTTACATTATTAGAGTAACATATGATATTATAAATACAAACAATGACATCCTTCCTGTATATAATACAGGAAGGATGTCATTGTTTGTTTATTTCCATTGAATAAGCTCCGAATCTACTGGACGAAAAAGCTTCATCAGACGCGGGTAATGTAGGCTACAAGTTACGCAGTCGAAGTAGCAGAAAGACATATAGTATATTATATGAAAAGGTGACTTAAAGCTTGCGGGATAAACTTGTTACTCAAAAAAAAAACATTTCAGATTATTATTGACTTTAGCTAAAATTATGAATAAAAATATTGAAATCCAAACAAAATATTATTATACGTTTTTTATCTAATAATAATAATAGTTTATTTGCCTTAAACATGGTATAAAAGTTAAAGTTGTACAATATCCTCATGTTTCGCCACTTTCAAATACTATGCAAAAACAGTATAATGGTAATAAAAAATCACCTAAACAATAATCACAATAATAATAACCAAATTATTAATTTTTTATTATATTGAAATGCATTGGTATTACATGTCAAAGTTAAAAAAAAATCTTAGTAACGAATGAAATCTTAATCTCCTCTTGGTACCTATTTATAATGACAAGAATAATAGGAACTTAATAATACCAATTTTGTAAATGAATTTGAACCATATCATTGAGAAAGGTGGCGACGGACCTACTTTCTTCTCTGAAATGTCTATTCCTTTTTGGCTTCGATGGTCACTTTTGTCGTTGCTAGTTGGTCACGGTAGACTTTAATTTAAATCCTGCGTGCTAATCTATAAAACGGTAGCTTTTAATTAATAGTTACCGATAAGTGGATTATAACGGTTCGTTAGCATTCATTAAGGTGTAAGGTCTATCGCATTGACCTGTAATTAACCCAGACTCTGCTGAAGTCTATATGATTTGTATCCTCTCTAGTTTACAAGTATAGGTATAAGAAGTATTATAGTTGGTTCTAGAGGTATGAATATCTACTATATGTTAACAGTTTTCTGTAACCTTTTAAATAATTCAATGTATCTTTAGAGTCCAAGAAGTCACTTCTTAATTTAACTTCTCTGTATGAAATGAAACAGGGAGAATAAAGTAGTTTCTTGCCAGTTCTTCTTCCGTTTCGTTAAACTGAGTTTCTTGCCAGTTTGTAACAGCCCAGACTGAAAAAAAATATGGAATTTGAATTCATTTTTTTATTCATACTTAACAATACAACAAAGCACTTACATAAAGTTTCTTTATTACAGAAAAAAAAAGTTACAAATATATCGACCGATTTTAATGAATTCATCAGCGGAAATCTGGCGTCAAAGGACTAGTAGTCTGTAGTCTACACTTTCAGAAACTTTTATGGGATTCAAAGCTAAATATTAGTATGACGAGACCGGCTATATCCCGTCGCATTAGGTATTGAAAAACTGTGTTTTCTCAAAACGTTCAAAAATCGAGCAATTAGACTGGGAAAAAATAAGAGAAAAACAATATAAGCCGTCTTACCTTTTCCTTTAAAATGATTTGTCTCGGTGAGTGTTGCAGCCACACAATTTCACAAAAACAGTTATTTTGATTTCACGTAAGCTTTTCAAAAATATATTTATATCATTTGTAGACATAAGCGAGACTCGCAATCGAATAATGCGGGTTGTTTGTTATAGATTTTATATTGAAGTGCGCCACTGCGCACACGCAGGTTTCATAGCGATTAATGTTGATCGAGTTTTGTGACTTGAGAAATTCTCCAAGCAACCCAACTCAGGTTGACGGCTTGTATGGGGCTTTCTATACTTGTGAATTTCCTGTTCCTCACCATAAATAACAGCCAAATAATTAAACGTTTTGAAAAAAATAGAGAATGTCGGAAACCTATTTAATTTGTTTAAAATAAGATTACGATACAATTAGAGATTCCGTAAAAGTACTATATACCTATCATAAGGTTACAACTAACTAGTTTACAAATGTAAGAGAATTTCTATGGATTTATCGAGTTGGATACAATAAACCCCGTAAAGCAATATAATTTTACTAATCTCATCATCAATATTATTCCACATAATTTTTTGGGTAGTTTGAGAGAACAAAATGGAGACAATTCAAATATTAACTTTGAGTTGTATTGAAATACAAATACTCGGCGGTTCAGAACTATATTTAGAACACAGTTAACTTTCAACAGAGGCTCACTGTGAAATTGTAGCGGTGCCTAAACGGGGCCTTGAACTGATTGATGCTGACCTTGCTAGATAGCTATTTGATACAACTATGGATCAGAGTAATCAATCTATTATAATGATTTTTCAGGATTATAATACATAATTTGATATTTTTATCATCTAAGGGCTTTACGCACGTGGGTATAACTTAATAGTTATTATGACCCATTTTTATAATATCTTTATAGACTTCGTTATTAGTTATAAGAAAAGCCTATGACCGAACATTGGAAACATACATCTACATTACTTTAAGAATAGTTGAGCCTCTCTAAGAACAAAAAATGAGGAAGTATAGAATAAAAAAACATTACTCAATATATAAAAACAATCATAAACACTAATATGTGGACATTTTACGAAGGGCATAAACAATTTAGGTCTGAAACCTAATGCTGATAGGGTTGAGTACCAAAATCTCGTCTTAGTTTCCGTTAGGGATGCCACGACTTTTCGAACACTGTTCCAAATTCATGGTAGATAAGTACTAGTGGTAACGATTGTCATTGAATCAATCTTATGGTATTTATATTTGTTTATCTTTCTCGTTGTTTCAGAACACCTAAGATGAAGTTGCGGTGGCACGTGTTAACGCTATGGGCATCATGTTATATATGTTCAGGTAAACCTAATGTTATATACTATATTAAATAACTTATTATGGATGGAGACTGACTTGCAAATATGATAAAAAAGTTTGAATTAAAAATTTCGTGAATAGTTTTTTTTTTTAATTTATTGACAATGACAGAGTATCATGTGCCATTTCAAATCAGACGAGATATTGCCTCAGTATGTTCTATGGCGAATGCTCTCGTGAATTAATTGACATTCTTCTTCTCCTTTTATAACAAATTAACGCAAGGCAGAATTGGGAAGAGTGATAATTTTTGCATGTCAACTAACACGTATTTTATATTTTTTTGCGTAATCAATAAATTACGGAAAAACATCGAGTTGGAATTCGGATGACGTCAAGTCTGTACATTTTCGCATTTAACAACTACTCTTGATGGTTTTTAATACTATATTTCTTTTTTTATATATGTATAAAAAGAAAATTTGTAGTTTCATATTCACGTCTATGTTATTAGTAGATTATTGTGCAACTAACAATACTTTGCGTTCAAAAGAAAGCAACAGTTACGTTAAATTAGAACATTTAGCAAATACTACTCATATTTAAACATGATACGTTAGCATGCAACGGCATTTATGAGTTAAATGCAAAATAAATGTTTGTTTTCATTGCGATGAAATAACAGTTTATACAATGTTTTTTTTTTACATTTTCTTTCTATAAAAGGATTCTTTCTTTAAATAAACGCGCCACTTCAAATCATCTTAGCAATAATAAATCCTCTCTAATTATATTGTTCTAAATACATAGCATTTATGTAACCTATAATTATTCAGAAATAATACAGGTAACGGGCACTAGATAAAAAAAAAGTAAGTGAAAGACCCGAGTAACTTAACATTTATAATGGCTGATTATCGGATTGATGACAAAATGTATACAATCTTGTGCTCTTCTGTGCTTTGGAAATCTCTTTATTATTTACCTGAAATAGCGTTTTGTCTTCATTTTCTATTAATTATAAATCGAACCATAAATATTAGAAGCTAACAGGATCCAACAGTAAGGACTAATAGACTATTGTTTATAATATTTTCAGTACTAGGCAACATGTTGCCAGTATTTACTCAAGACATGAACAACCTGGCGTTATCGGAGAGCACGCCAGTCGGATCCATAGTCTACACACTGCAAGGCGTCGACCCTGAAGGTCTACCGGTAAGTGAAACAGATGTAACGGTCATTTGTATCAAATCTCTTATCATCACCATTTTCTCGGTATGATGCCATTTGCTGATTTTTTACATTCAGCGACTTCCTTGACAGTTTCGGAACTTTTGCGCTTCAACAACCATTAGTTATTATGGCTATATGCCTCTTCCATTCAAAATCAAAATCTAAATTGTTTATTCAGTTAAGGCTTTTACAGAGCACTTGTGAAAGTCGAAAACTACGGCATTGCCATCAAATCACTAGATATTCAGTTCTTCATTCACAGTCATCGCAGGGAAACCGACATGTTCTTAAAATATAACTCACTACAATCATTAATATGAATCTTATAGTATCTGAAGGAGTCTTATACTTAAAAAATCAACAGTTTTGGTACTTAAAATACAAACCTATATTACACATGAAGGCTTGGTTCTATTTCTCCGAAAACGAATCTTCGTCTAATTTCCTCTGTCCTTATCTATTAAAAAAAAAATTAAAACCTATGCACGACCTTTCACTAAACAAGTGACTATTTTCAAATAGAGTTTTAGAGAATTTTATATACGAAAATTTTGAAAATATATAGAATGAATCTTATTTGTTTCAGTTGAAGTATAATTTAATAGGAACAAACAAATTTGAAGCAAACCCCGTAACAGGACAAGTAACGCTAATTCGACCTTTGGATAGAGAAGTGAGTATCGTAAATGTCATCGTAGTAACTTTTTTTTATAATATTCAAAAATACAATGCATGCTGTAAATGTAAAAGGAAAGGATAAGAAAGAATCAACAACAAAATTAGATATTTTGCATTAACGTCCATTTTAATAATAATATACACAATAAAAATGAAACTTTTATAATGAAATTCTGGCTTGATTTGCTCTAATTTTATGATGTCAATATTTACTTTGTAATCCTTCAGACTGAAGACACGATAAAGTTCTTAGTATCTATAGAAGATCAAAATCCTGATTCTGCCCAAAATCTGATGCAACTACAGCCCGTCACTGTCATTGTTCTCGACGAAAACGATAATCCGCCTATGTTTAAAAATGTAAGTATACAAATCTTTTACTTTGTTCGATTTATTTAAACAATTTTGAACTAAGGAGACTGAAAATTGTTTGATTGATCGATGTTTTCCAGAATCCCTATGAAGTTGATGTGCCAGAAGATGAAGAAATAGGTAAAACAATACTGACCAATATTCAAGTGGAGGATATAGACTCTGTTGGCGATAGTCTAGAAGTTGGCTGTTTAAGTGAACAAGTAAGTAATAGTAATTTATACTTTCATAATTCAGACGCTTGAAGAGATAAAAAAAGAATTAATATATCTATCTAAAGTTTGATCATGAAACAAAACGTTGACGTCCACTGGTACTAAACGATTTCCAAGTTCCTTTCTTTTTCGAACTGCTACGGTATGGATTGCCTGATCATTTATTCCCCAATCAATTTGACTTGGAACTTCATGACCAGAGTAAATAGGCACTTCCTGGTTAGGCATATACTATCTTAGACCAGATCCTATTTACAATCATCAGTGATAAAATGTCAAACCAGTCTTAGAATAAAAAAAATAGGTATTAGAGTACTTGATGTATGATTTAATTATACTAGTATCACTGCGTATTTATGTAAAATATCTAATATCAAGTTATTGACAACATTTTAGCAGCTAAGTAAATTTCATCGCAATGCTTTAATCATAACGTATGTTTATTTGTATCTGTTTTCATCCTAAATATGACGAAAATGTTGTATTACATTCAATTTAGAAATGCTGACTTGTTTCAATATACTTATCACGAATGAGGATTAAATTCATTTGTTATTACAAGTTTACAACATTTAAATACAAAGTGGACGAATTACCTGTTTATACTTTTGACATAATATGGAATTCTTATTTGTTCCAGTGGCCTGAAGCGTGTGAAACTTTTGAGGTGGTAATGCTCAGTTCATCCGCCAGCCACTACACAGGAGCACTTGTGCTAAAGAAAACATTAAACTACAATGAAAAGCAATTCTATCAGTTCCAGCTTTACGCAACCGTGAGTTTCGGATTTTAATGTATTCTATGGGTATTAAAGCTACACAAACAATTGTGTAATAAATGTAACATGCATCTAATAAAATACAAGGACATTTTGATTTCTGGTTAGTTTATATTTATTATTATTTTATTTGACGATGTCACGGTACTCGATGGTTGTGTCTCATTGTTTCACTCTGCTGATTTTTTTTTATATTATATTATTGTCATGGAATAGGCACCATAAATCATCTCGCTCTCGCCTAACATCATTGAGAGATAGGGGTGGCTGAAAATCAGTGCTGTCCTGGAACACGATTCTATGTCAGCATTAGCTGAGCAACTATCCTTTTGCACTATAACAAATAATCTTACCTGTTTCACAAAACTATTTGAAATGGTCCGTGTAGTTTTGTAATAAGAAAGCAAAAAAGATTTCTTCGCATTTCATTTATGCTGTTCGTTGGCGCAGTGGATCGGTCACCCCAGTAGTGGGATCATCCTTAAATTGCGTTAAGTAGATTAAATGTAGTCAAAACGGATTGAAAACGCAATCCGTAAAAATGCATATTATGGAAAACATGACTTATATCAAAAGTATATTAGTTATTTCGACGACCTCCGTAGGCGAGTGGTTCGCATGCTTGTTTCAAGGTGTCATATCTGAGGTCCCAGGTTCGATGCCCGGTCGGGTCAAATAGAAAATGAACTTTTCTATATTTTCTCGGGTTTGGATGTTATGGTACCTTCGTTGTCTCAGATATTCCATACGGTGGCTTTAGCTACCCATCTTAGAATCTGAGCAATGTATGTTGTCTAATATTTATTTATTTATATTTACTATTTGATTATTTAAATTTTGTGTGACTACAGAATAACCCAAATCAAAATTAGTTTTTAAAGCAAAAATTCAAGAATTGGTACCAAAAATAATATTGGTATGAGCAAATGTATAAAACATGAGTTTTCATATAAACTAAAAGTAAACCTAATAAAAATGTTACCTCATTGTATGTACATACTCGTAAAATCAAATTTTACAAATCTACTTATGAGTATTTAAAAGTACATGTGTTTTTGTGTCGATATGTCCAGGATGGTACCCTCAACTCATCAGCACACGTAGAAGTGAAAGTGGTAGACGTTCAGAACTCCCCGCCAGTGTTTAGCGGAGCACTAACCGGAGCCCTGGCCGAAGATGCTCCAGTAGGAACATTAGCACTTACCATCAAGGCTAGAGACGCTGACAGGGCTCAGCCTAGAGACGTTATTCTAGAACTAGTTACGAGTGAGTGATTAATTTTATATATTTTAGCTGACTTAAAATATAATTTATGTATGTGAATTCATTGGAATGGCGCTGTCTAATGGGTTTCTAGACAAATGTGTTAGATTTTGTTATTGCTTTTGTATGTTTGTTTGTCCACGTATTTCTTGCAGATACGCGTCAAATTGCAATTATTCTTTTTAGCTTTCAACTAAAGGAACACCATTATATCCATTTATCTATCTCATTTTTAAAATATTCGTAGCTAGTCTTTTCATGTTGTTGACTTAGTACAGCTTACATACTTATATGAAAAAAAAACCTCGCGTTTACTAATATTTTAATTACAAAGATACCACTTTCTGTGCTTAAATTCACCACATTATTTCAGATCCATTGGATTTCTTTGTGTTGGACAGTGCAACTGGAGAATTAAGAACAGCTAAACCTTTGGACAGGGAAGCTCTGGCTGACCCTTCGTCACCACTCAATCTTACAATCAAAGTGAGTGCATTTTGAGATTTCACATTTGTAGATTTTTCAAGCAATTCTTGTTTCTCGCAAATCTCGTCTAAGTGAACTATTTTTTAAAAAACTATGTTTTATAAAAAAAAAAATATATATATATATATATATATATATATATATATATATATATATAGACAAAAAAGCTGACTTCTGGCAATCTTTACCAGACATGGGGCTTGCTTAAAATATTTATTGATAACGTGCCTGCTTATTTTTAAATATCAGCAATACAACTAATATCGATATTTTAAACTACCATTGTATAATCAAAAGTGATGTATAATAAATTTAGATAGCAAATTTAAACTACAAAACCGTTCAAACAATTGTAGGCCACAGAAATAGTGAACGGAACACCGCTGTACTCTGACCTGACATCCACGGTGGCCATGGTGACGGTCACCATAAAAGACGTGAACGATGAACCTCCCAGATTCAACCACCGTGAATACTTCGTCGACATACCGGAGAGTCTTCCTGTTGGAACCCCACTACCTAATTTGGATATGACAGTCACAGACACCGACCTGGTTAGTTATACTATTTATTATGATATTGTTAGTTGTTACGACTTAGGGTTCGGGATAAAAATTAACGTAGGCTTGCAGAAAAAGTACCGATATTTTGAATTCAATATATCGATATTTTTAACCGATATATATTGACCGGATGTATCGAAATATCGATACAAAATATTCAGTATCGAAAACGATGTTTTTTTAATTCTTTTGGCACTGAAGTCGCTGAAACCCGAAACTGTAGAAGATAGGATAGAACGAAAAAAAAACTATATTGTCTTTGACATATTCTTAATATTTTTGTAATTTTGTCTAATAAAAAAGAATACAGGTAAAATACTTTCATTCATGTTTCTTGCGATTTAATCGATATATCGATGCTAATATAGATATTTTAAAAAATATCGATATTCTTTTAATTTTCGACATCCCTAAATTAACGCCAATTAAGTTCACCTTTCACCTAGAATTGCTTCAAATGTACTGACTGGTTCACCTAGAACCAGTACATTTGAAGCAGTACCAAGAAATTCTAGAACCGCTACCCGTCCCTTTTTTCCTTGGAGACTATCTTTCACTCCCCGACCCCATATTAACCATCATGTAGGTAAATATGGTGTCGGGACAGTTACAACAGTGTTAGCGCGATTCATTGGCGCATAACGCCATCTAGTATCTATAATATGCAAAATATTGCGGATTTTCTAGAAATTTTAGCAAATACATTAAAAAGTTTTTCATTAAGATTATTTTTCAGTATATCATGAATTCAAAATTAATCAAATACAACAATTAAAAACAAATTTTCATCTTTATCTAAGTTTCTTTATAAAAGTTTTGGCTGTTATAGAAATACCTTTAAAGCTTAAAACATCTTGTCAATAGAAAACAGCAGCAGTATTATTTTTCTTGTTTTTGAAATCCTTTTATATATTTAAAAAACTTCAAATTTTGTGACTACTACGGTCACAACGTAAGATTAAAAACCGTCTCCTGTGTTGTGTATAGTCAACATCGTTTATGTAACATATATGCTTAAGTATCAATGTGATAGCTGGTATATTTATTATTCAGAATTCACTTTCTCCATTGTATCTGCTTTCGAAATTCTCTGTTATTATAAAGAATGACGTCAATATTTTTCATCAGGGTCTCAACTCCGTATTTTCTTTGCGTCTATCGGATGAAATGGGAGCGTTCATTGTAGAGCCGGCGACGGCTACTGGCAGTGCTTCTGTTACTCTCAGACTGAACTCCAGTCTTGACTATGAAGATCCTAACCAGAGGAAATTCATTTTAGAGGTAAGCATTTTGTATATAAATGGGGACGGTGATTATAGAAGGATCAATTAGTAACTGGAATTTAAAAAGTGTCTCTTTATGCGAAAAGTGTCTCTTTATAATAATATATATCAAACCATCCAAAAAGTGTAGGAGCTGATAGAAATTAATAAAAATAACTAACCTATGAGTATATTTAACAGGTAATAGCTGAAGAACTACACACATCGCCTCGACTCTCGTCAAAAGCTAGTGTAACAATATCCCTAATAGATGTGAATGATAATGCACCACAATTTGCTGAAGAACCTTATCCCGCTACTGTAGCAGAAGCATCACCAGCAGGCACGAGGGTAGCAGTTGTCAAAGCTACTGATAGAGATACGGGCAGGTGAGTGGTTATAGTACATTACGATATTAGTGCGTTATGATCAGTGGTCGGAATTAGGTAGAGTTATTCATGTACTTACACTGATTTCATACAGCGAAAGAATAAAGTGGATATACCTCAAATCCCGAGATTAATTTTAAATAGCAGAAAAAATCCCGTGATTTTTTAAATAAAAAGTTATTTACTTTTACGCAATTTAAACTACTGCACGCACGACGTTGCCAAAGTCCAAAGTTGCAAAATACCAATACGCGCGATGTTGCCACATTTGTAGGGAAGGTCCACATTAGTATCAACATTTCGATGTAAGTACATAAATAACTCTACCTAATTCCGACCTCTGGTTATGATGATTATAACATGCGAGACGGAATTTCAGCGCAATTGAGCCGAGTATGTTATAACCAATACGCACGTATGTCATACGACGTTTTTTAACACATTTGCGAGGAAACAGAAAAAAAAACCATTAAATAAACTCAATCTGTGAATGAACACTGTTGCTTTCCCGCCATTATAACAGCACGCTAGCGCCGCCTACTGACTGGCGCCGCGCGGCGATTAGTTCGAAATTTGAATACCTACTGTTATAGAATTTGTATGGACTATAACTTAACTATTTGCTTTGGTAACACGCGCGTTTTTTATGACCGCTTTACATATTTAAAATCGGTGGAATTACATCAGCTTTACGAGCAAAGGTGTTAAAAAATAAAACTTTCATTTAAATGTTATTGATGAAAAGGATTAATTATATTTCTGCTCTTTTAAAGTAATAAATAATCATGAGCACACTCGTTAAGTAGCTCGGTGGCATAGTGGATAAGCGATTTTTGTTGCTAAGCAATTTTCGCAATGGTCGGTCACGGGATGGGTGACAAAAAAAATATGTCGAGCTAATCCGTGCTTTGGAAAGCACGTTAAGCCGTTGGTCTCGGCTGCATTTGCAGTCGTTAATACCCTCCAATCCGCATAGGGCCAACGTGAAGGGTCATGGCCCGTCCTCCTTAACCAATCCATAAGGAAGGCCTGCGCCCCAGCAGTGGGGACGTTAAAGGCTGATGATGATGATGATCGTCGAGCACGAATGTGATTTTTTTTTTATTTAAATTTACAGTAATTCTGCCTACGCAAAATCAAATCTTATATATAAAAATGAATCGCAAAATGTGTTGGTAAGCGCATAACTCAACAACGCCTCGACCAATTTGGCCAAATCTTTTTTTAAAATGTTCGTTGAAGTTCAAGGATGGTTTTTACGGCGAGAAAAATGAGAATTATTGCTGGAAAAACCCTAAAAATAGCCCTTTTCTTTTTCCCATACAAATGATTTGTAACTAAAACGTAGTCAATTTGAGCTTTATTGCTATGGTATAAAGTTCATATTAAATTACAAGCACTCACTGTTGTCTAAGCAATGTAGGTGTGTTCCTAACGTCAAAGATCATATCTATCAAAACAATGTGCGTGTGTGCGTTGGAGCACAGAATACATAGTTGGAGGAGTTTAATGTCGCGTTCCGAAACTCGCATTTCTTTTGTATTAGTTTCGGCACGCGAGATAAAATGCATCAGTTTCCACGTCATTACATCAGTCAAACAAAAATCGCGTTACCAACAGTGTTTTATTATTTTTAATATCCAAATTTTAAATCAATAAAACAATTCGTACGGCTTAAAAGGATTTGACTTCAAGTCATATCAAATTTAAAAAAAAAAAATTGTCTGTGACCTAATCTACTGAGTTTGCTAAAAACTGCCACATTACAAATCTTTTTGACAGGACGAAGTCTGTCGGGTCAGCTAGTAATATATAAAAATATTTTAATTTTATGTTCAATACGAATTCAATTAGATATATTTCATATTACGGTTCCAAAACTTGTTGTCCGTTCACCAGTTACACGACACAAATGGAGCTAATCTAAGTTAATATCCTATTGATGATATATTTATTTTCTATCCGATCAGGTTTGGTACCGATGGCATCGTATATGAGTTGTCTGGTAATGGAGCAGAATTGTTCAGAGTGGATAACAGAACTGGACTCATCACGGTAGCTCCGTGTCCCACTCCGGGTCTAGCTCCTTGTCTGGACTACGAGACGAGGAAGGACTACTTCTTGCAGTACAAGGTACTCTTTATGCTTAAAAGTGCAAAATGGTCTCAAAATAATTAAGTAATTATATTATGGATATTTAAATAAATTTAAGACATATGTATATACTACTCGCACTAATTGACAATATACCTGAAGGCTTGTAATATAATTCCGTAGACGATATTTAGTCTATTTTCGGAACTTCAATATAATGAATAAGTATTCAAAATTTCCGAATTTTCGTTGGAGGTCGAATAGGCTTTCAGATGTCATGTTCATTCGTAGGACTTATATAAAAACTGATTGAAGTATATAAAAATAAATATTTCTATCACAAAATTACGATCTATTGAATACGTGTACAAATGGAAAGTGATGTCTAAGTTAAAAAAAAAAACTAAAAGGAATAAGATTAATGAAAGTTGAGGAAGTGAAAGAAGTATTACCTTACGAGAGATCCGGCGGGTGGATAAATATAAAGTACACATAACTATTTTAATATTAAAATACAACTAATATCCCCGTTTATATAATTCTTGACTTTATGATTATTTCAGCTTTTCGTATGGTAATTCTCATCATAAAACTTTTATTTATTTATTAGGCAACAGACGACGACGGCTCCGGTCAAATGACGGTAGTTTCACTTCAGATATCCCTAATCGATTCTAACGACAATCCTCCTACGTTCGCTACACCTGTCTACAAAGCTTCCATCGACGAAGACGCCGTCAAGTTCGAACCAGAATTACAAGTGAGTGATATTATATATGTTTAATAAAAAATTTAAGAAGTCATTGACGGTAACTGGTGATTCAAATTACACTGATATAATAAATTGTTTTTCATATACGAAGTAAAAATACAATAAATCAGTTAATATTTAGGACCAACATTTACAGTTCTAAACATCTAATAATTTAATAACTTTTAGTGTGTTAATTTATTGCATGGATTTTTGAAATAGGTCACAATATATGTAAATACAGAAGTATTTCGAAAACAAAAAAAAAACAAAAAGAAACATTTACTTGGAAAGAACGGGAAACAAACAGAAAGGACAAAAACATAACCGCAAGTAATAATGAAATGAGAGACATTAGATATATTTACTTTTAGTAAAATTATGTTTACTTTTGTGAAAATCGCAATAGGAGTTGCTATTTTAGTCAACTATAACAAGTAACAACAACAATCGAAAACAACAAAAATTGTCTGTGATCTCAACAAAATCCATCTCAGTATGTTATTCGTATTTATTTGTTAACGGTACTGATCGCTGAACGCCATTACGTCAAAAAAATGGCGGCCGGGCGCATTAGCAATTTGCGGGTACAGATTTTTTTTTTATCCACACAGGTCCAAGCTCGTGACGTAGACGTTTCATCTGAAATCCGCTACTCGATTATAGAACCCGCGATACAACCGTTCTGGATCGATCCCCTCACGGGCAGGATATCTGTGCGACCTGAGACAGGAGGTGTTACACAAAACGGAGATGATAACAAGATTGTGCTTACTATCTTGGTGAGTAATAATGATGTAAATAATACAAATATTGGGAACCATCGTTTAATAAATCTTCAAGTAATTATAATATTTAAACAATTTCGCATTCATAACGCTATACTGAAAAATATTCATGACAATAATGATGTAGTAGTAAAAAAGTAACACGTGCTTGAAAGATTCGTTAGTTCTGTTAGGTTCTGGCTATCTCAGTTATTATAGAGCAGTCGCCCGGAATCTGAAAGGTCATGGGTTCGAATCCCATCTCAGAGTACCAGAGCCCAAGTTAATTTTTAAGCATTTTTCATTAAGAATATTAAAGTAATTAGGCAGAGAAAAAAGAACTCTTGGAATCAATATAATATAAAATACATGGTTGCGTAGTGAGAAACATGTGAAAAATACTCCGTAATAATGGCAAAGTATAGACAACAAGATATTTATCAAACAGAAGACCAATGCTTTACTTAAACGTCTTCGTTGTAGACTCTTAGTGACAAAGTCATGTTAGGATTAAAATTTAGTGACATCTCACGATACTTCGCCATGTGTATCGATGTTCATATGGGGTAAGAGCAATCGTTTAATCTGGAGAGCATAGATTTTAAGAGGTCAGCCCGCGAGACCCTCAATTTTTCCCTGCTCCATCAGCCTGTCAAGCATAATCACGTATTTAGGAATACTAGCTAAACCAATATTTGCATAAACTATCTGTACTTAACAAATATTTTTCACAGGCAACTGACGGCATCCATAATGCGACCTGTAAGGTTGAAATTACTGTTCGTGATGTAAACAATCACGCTCCGGTCTTCGATATAGACAAGTATGATGCTGACATACCTGAGGATGCACCAATAGGTATTTATTATTAATTATACTGAAGTTCCATTAATGTTACTAAAATTACTCAATTAATTAAGCCAACAAGTTCCTAACATAATCCACGAAAAGCTAGAAAAATCACTTTTTGAAAGGCTCAGGTCAATGATGCATGAGGTGTATTACTTAATCCAAAAAATCAATGCTTACTCGATTAGTAAAAATACTTAATTCGTATTACTACCTGTAGTAATAGTAAACTGAAATAAGTTGAATATATATTGAAATCCATTTTTAGAGTTCCATATTCAGAGGAAAGAACGCCAACCCTATTACTAACACCCCCACTGATCTTTGTGGTAATCAGCATGTCATAAACTGTAGTAGCTAGACAATAAGGGTTCAAATAATTTGAAAAATAAACTGTAGTACCTAGACAGTAAGGTTTCAAATACTTTGAAAATTTGAAAGATATATTCTGGACATGCCCATCGACCAATTGCAAGAGCTGTACTGAATGTGGTAATAGTATTTATAAATTTTACAGGCACAGAAGTAGCGGCAGTGCGCGCTACAGATTTAGATAGTGGAATCAATGCTGAGATCAAGTATGGCATACAAAAAGGTGCTCAAGAAGCTTTCTTAATAGACAACGTTACCGGCGTAGTCACTGTTTCCGCTGCTCTGGATTACGATAAGAGAAACACATATAAAATACAAATCATCGCTTCTGACCTTGGTAAGAAAAAACAGAGTATATTTACACAAATGTGAAAACAACATTATTTACACTATATAGTCTGTTAGTGCAGTCAAAATATTTACAAATGATTTATCATTTGTCTACATTTATACTTGAGTTATATGTGTGGATCAATCCTGATAAATATAGTAGGGGAAAACAGTGAATAGAAATTAGGATGTATTATTTAAATATAAATTTATAATAACAACAAAAAAGGAGTGAAACGAATTAAGAATTTAGTAATTACTTGCCCTGTAATAAGCTGGGGTTCTTATTCTTCTTTTATTAATTCTTCTACTTCGTTTCGCACAATTCTTGCCAATGTCAAGTGATTAAATTAGATAAATTGAATTAATTAAATTTCTACATGTATAATGAATGAAAGATGGCGACAATGGGCTGGGGTTGGAATGAAAAGGCTTATTGTCATTGCAACTTCTGTGTGGCGCTTATAATTTGCTAGGTTATGCCGCCATTTTTTAATTTGCATAATGGTACACATCAATTTTTGTCTGTTTATGACTAGGAAACTTTTTAATATATATTCTTTAATTTTTTTTGTTCTTTTTTAACTCGATAGCATATTTTGGCATAATAAACAATAACCACATCCTTATCGGAGCTTATTTTGATATCATACAATTACTAAAATGGATATTATTGAGATAAAATAAACTTAAAATAAATTTTCTCCAGGTATGCCCAGTTTAACAGGTACAACCGAGTTGACAGTCCACGTGATCAATGTGAACGATAAAAAGCCTTCCTTCACACCTCCCGTGCAAAGAGCAGAAGTATCAGCCGATGCTGAAATCGGAACTGTAGTCCACAATCTGATTGCCGTGGATCCAGATATTACTGACAACAGCCTTTTGGTCTATGAGATGCTGCAAGATAGAGTCATAAAAGCTGTAGACAAAAATGGAAAAGAGGTAAATAAATATGTATATTATATTATAAATAAACATATCCAAAGAAGATTTATTATGTATTTGATATATTTGAAAGCGGCAATACCTTCGGGCCTTTCAAAGCTATTGTGTAAATTTAAATACAGTAATATTATAACAAAATAAGGATATCGCCGTAGTTTTATACTATGCATCAATCATTATCTTGTTGATATCTAATAAGAACTTTAAAAAAAATGATAAATAATACTTATCTGAGATTTAAAAGCTTTAAGTTTGTTTTGAAAGCTTGACGGCTTTTTGGTGATATTGATATTATTTTTAATAATAGGTAACACTCAAAATATTATATAAATAAAAACATTCAATGCAGTGAAAGTTTTAGAAAAAATATGCTTATATATTTTTTCCAATAATTCTATACTCTTATTATAAAGAGGAAAGATTTATTTGCATTGGATGGGCTACAAAACTATAGGACCAATTTATGAAAGTCTTATCTATGGGAAGCTACTCAATACGCGTTGGCTATAATTTACGCAGGCGAAGTCGCAGGAAAACAGTTTCATTGAAATTGGTTCCAAATTAAAGAAGATTAACATGCCTGCTTTCATAAAAAATATACATACTCCTTGAACATAGGAAATTGACTTTTCGAATTTTGAATGTATTCCAAATACGCTTTTGTTTTTTAGCTGGAAAAGGCCATATCTTACCATATCAACTAAATATTAGGGTAATATTTTGTGAAAAGCTTATTTTGTTTTGTTCTAAAAGAAATACTACTGATTCGATTCCTATAAAATTTAAATGGAGCACCTCGGTCCATTAAGCTGACGAAGCTGTAAAAAAAATCGAACCACAAATGGCGGAAATATCGGTGAACATATATTAAAAAAAAATACATCGCTGTCGAAAATATAACCTCCTCCTTTTGGATTTCGAAATCAGTCAAAATATAAAGAAATTTAACGATCATACAATCTGTTTAAAGTTTCTTTGAGATTAATTTTTGTTTGCACCCTGTGTGAATTCACTAAAGTAGCTCGATTTATATTATGTTATAGTAACGGTTATTGAGTTATAATAATAGGGATGATGACTATTTTTTGTTTGTTTGTCCGTCAGGTAGAATGTTAAAAAATATTAAACACGTATTTTTTTCGTAATCATAAAATTACGGCGCTACATGGAGTTGAAATTTCGCATGACGTCACGTTAGAGTACGTTTTCTACTCAACTGTGACGTAGCGAGCCCCCACTCTTCAACTTTAATGCCTGTTATCTATACTACTTCTTGTTAAATTTAAGTAAAAAAAAAAATACGTATCTAATATTTTTCTATAATCTGACTGACGGACTAAATAGAATTGCATTTTTTTTACCCAGTCATCATCCCAATTGTACTCGTATTTAGACAATATGGCTATGCTGTTTTATTGGGATCACCTGTAATAATAGTGATAAGCTTGTAATTGTTCTTAATAAAATTATACTGTTTGGCGGGACACTAACGTTGATAATTATGACCTGCAGGTATCTGATGAAGGTATTTTTGGATCTTGGTTCGCGGTTCAACCAAATGGTTCGGTAATTGTAGCACAAAAGCTTGATCGAGGCCGAGCGGCAGTTCTCACTCTACCCGTGGCCGTTACTGACGCATCTGCTTTGACATTACAGCAGACTGAAGGTAAGTCTTGTTTATCAGTTAGTAAATATGAGTCTGATTATTATATTTAAACTAGCTTTTGCCCTCGACTTCGTCCGCGTGGTAAAGTTACTTTGAGCAGCATTTCTAACGAATATTTATACGTCGTTTCTGACGAATATATATAATATTTATTCGAGAGAGAGATATTATCAAAATCCCTTCTTAGGAGATGCCTACGTCATAGTATCTTTATGCATGCAAAGTCTCAGCCCGATCAATTTAAAATTGACAGTTTCATACACACATTTTACATCCTGTTTTATCCACGTGGGGGTAGAATTGATCAAAATCTTTTCTTAGCGGATGCCTAGGTCATAACATCTACCTGCATGCCAAATTTCAGCCCGATCCGTCCAGTGGTTTGGGCTGTGCATTGATAGATCACTATGTCACCTTTGAGTTATATATATTTATATGTGTAATAGTTTATGTAGTGCATGTGCAGATTGTGCAATTAGTGAAGGGATCTGTTGGTAAATTCTGTACAATATAAAATCATTTTCGACAATTTTCGCGATAAGGTATTCCGATTTAAGGTTTGTGAAGCTTACAAAGGATCAATCATAACATCTGAGGAGATAGTCGGTAGCGCAGTGGATCTGCAACTTTCGTATGGGCCGATTGTAAGATGGATGACTAAAAATGATTAAGTCATTGGTCTTGGCATCTGTAGTCATTAACACCTACTAATCCGCACCGGGCCTGTGTAGTATTTATGGCTCGACCGTCGGTGTTCCTAGCATAGGAATGACGATAAGCTGATGATGAAGATAAAAGCGTCTTTAATTGTTGTTTTCATTATTATTTTATGTATATTATTTTAAATAAAGATAAAAAAAAATGTAAAACTCTGATTCGCTAGATCCATAAAAAATTCTGAAGGTAATAAAACGAATCGAAAAGTATATTCACTTACTACCTTATATTGACGTTATATAATATAACAATAATTAATTATTTGTATAAGTAATAATGGGACAATATATTGATATTGGAGTAGCTCGGTGGCATAGTGGATAAGCGCCCGGTATTGTTAAGCAGCTTTCGCAAGGGTCGGTCACGGGATGGGTGTCTAAAAAAAATATTATTTCGATATACTTAGGTGTATAGCACATAGGGACGCTCTGCACAGAAAAACACAAAACTCACAGGACAACGAAATACTTAAAATAAGTTACAGAAGATATCGTAACTTCTGTAACGACTTACTAAAAAGATTAAAAAACGAATACGAAAAATCTGAAATAAATAAATGTAAGAACCCGAAACAAACATGGAAAACTATTCGAAAATTCACTAACACAATTAAAGAAACAAACCACGCTGAGGAACTTTTACATAGCAACTCGAGTTGTCCACAAACATCCATTAACCTAATCAATGAATATTTCTCAAACGTGGGAAAGAATCTTGCCAGTGAAATTGATAAATCTGCCGTTGTAGCAGATATCCCATGTGCTATAAAAAGTAACAATCATCCTAATTCTTTTGTTCTGCTTCCAACAGATAATATAGAAATTACAAATTTAATACAAAGCTTAAAAAACGATTCTGCTACTGGTTCTGACAACATTCCATCTGCGTTTCTCAAAGCAACAGCAAAATCGATAGTTCCAATTTTAACCCATATTTTCAATATCTGCTTTAATAATGGTGTTTTTCCGAAATGTTTCAAGCAATCCATTGTTCATCCCATTCATAGGGGTGGTAGTGGAGAGTGTGTCGACAACTTCCGCCCAATATCTGTTCTCACTGCATTATCGAAGATATTAGAAAAACTTATTAATTCACGTCTTATGAATTACCTTAAACAAGAAAATCTAATATCTTCATCTCAATTTGGATTCCAACCGAACAAATCTACGGAGGATGCCGTTGCTCCACTCGTTGATAACGTAGCTACAACTCTTGACCACGGAGACAAGTGCATTGGTGTCTTCCTTGATTTGGCGAAGGCTTTTGACACGGTCTCTACTCCCATCCTACTAAACAAGCTGGAAAGTGTGGGTATCCGTGGAATGCCTCTTAAATTATTTAAGAGTTTCTTGACTAATAGGAAACAACGTGTAAGAATCGGTGCATTTGAAAGCATTGATATGCCCATAACTTGTGGTGTGGCTCAGGGCAGTGTGCTGGGCCCAAGTCTCTTCCTTGTCTATATAAACGAGCTTTGTGACTATAAACCAATTAATTCTAGTATATTCTCCTATGCAGATGATACTGCTATAATATTCAGGGGCGAGACTTGGGCTTCAGTAAAACAAGTCGCTGAAAGGGCACTAACTAATATAACCAATTGGCTGTTCAAAAACTATTTAACGTTAAATATTACCAAATCTAAATTTTTATCCTTCTCTATCACAAATAATTCAAAACCAGATCCGTCTTATTGCATAAAAATTTACACTTGCAACCAAAATGACCCTTCTTCATTATGTAACTGCTTAGCATTGGAAAGAGTGAACCATATTAAGTATCTTGGTATACAACTGGATAGCACTTTGAATTGGGATGTTCAAATTGCTCATCTTTCATCTCGAACAAGAAAGCTAATTTGGACATTTAAAAAACTTGGAGACGTGCTGAAACCATCCTCACTTAAAAGCATCTATCTTGCACTCGCGCAATCGATCTTAAGTTATTGCATATCGGTATGGGGTGGAGCATGTAAAACTAAAATCATAAAATTAGAAAGAGCACAAAGATCAATCCTTAAAGTAATGTCAAAAAAACCATATCGGTACCCGACTACTATCCTTTATCGTAATTGTGCAGTTCTCAGCATACGCCAACTGTTTATCCTTCATGCCATTCTGTACAAACACTCTAAAGTTCCATATGACCGAAATAGCTCCATATCAAGAAAACGAAGAACCGACAGAGTCTTTGTCATAGCAACTCATCGTACTACTTTTGTTAGAAGACATTTATGTTTCCTTGCACCTTATTTATACAACAAAATAAATAGAATATTAAACATCCATAATAAAACTCGTTATAACTGCAAGTCTACTCTAGAAAAGTGGTTACTCACACTTAATTACACAGACACAGAATCATTACTAATATCTCCTCGATAGATGCACTTTCATTTTCCTTCTGATACATGCACTTCTATAATAACGCACCACACACACACACACTCACACACTCACACACACACACACACACACACACACACACACACACACACACACACACACACACACACACACACACATACACACACACACACACACACACACACACACACACACTTAAACCGTGTCAGCATTGACTTGCACTGAGATGAGCGCTCGTTGATTCACGGGTGGGACCTGGAGTCCTGAATTACAGGGTTGCCCTAGCTTAGGCTCCAGATCGCACAAAATAATTACTCATAAATTGTTTGCCTATCAATCAATGATTGTGTGATAAATAAACTGATTATTATTATTATATTATTATTATTATACTCTGTGCTTCGGAAGGCACGTTAAACCGTCGGTCCCGGCTGCATTTGCAGTCGTTAATACCCTCCAATCCGCATTGGGCCAGCGTGGAGGGTTATTGCTCATCCTCCTTAACCATCCATAAGGAAGGCCTGAGCCCCTGCAGTGGGGACTTAAAATGGCTGATGATGATGATGACATTGATATTGCAGGTGAACTTATAATAAATATTGTGGATGTAAATCGGCACGCTCCTGTGTTCGGTCAGCCAGCTTATCACTTGACGATGGCGGAAGAACAACCCGTGGGTACAGTGCTGGACACGTTCACTGCTACCGATAAAGAAACACCTGTCGCTGCTATCATCATACAACCACCGAGTCCATATTTTGAGATCAACAATGTTACCGGTAAGTTGATCACGAGTAGCGTTTTTGTACTGGTAGTGTTTGATATACTGTACCGCAAACAGGGCGGATGACACACCACTATCTTACACATATCAGAACTTATAGAATTAAACCTTATGCCGTATACCGTTCTAACCAGTCTTTTTCAAAGTGGGCGATAACGCCCCCAGATGGGTGCTGCATGCCTAAATGAGGGCGGTAAGAGACCCAGAAGAAAAAAATGGGGTCGTTGGATAGAGTCCTAGGAAGAGTTGCAAGAGATTTGTGTACGCTCATGTCTCAAGTTAACTTTTAACTTTTAAAAGTCTCGTGTAGAATGAATTTTTAACCTCTCTTAATTTAAGGTTATAGTGTTTTTAGTGGGCAGTAGAGCAGTAGACGAAATAAATTTAGGAACCCTGGGTCTAAACAATAAGACCATTACCACAGTTACTAAAGAAGTAATTATAAAATAATATAACTGGGTTTGACGCTTTATGCACAAGAAAAATATTGCAATTCTCATTTTGGTCAAGATGATAATTAGCTCATTATTTGCCAATTTATAAAATGTTACTAATAGCATTTTTTTGATATATGTTTATGTAGCGAACATATATTAAAAATTATATGCGTCCAACAATCCTGAGTGTAAACATTCCATATTTCTAAGATTATATATTTACCTTCTTACAGGCGTTGTAAAAACCACTCAACGTATAGACTACGAGAAACTCCACAATATAGAATTCACATTAGTAGCGTTTGACTCCGGCGTTCCTCAGCTGTCTACATCAGCGTCGGTTCTGGTGGAAATCCTCAATGTCAACGATGAAGAGCCGGTATTTGCAGCTGAAGCTTACGACGCAGCTGTAGCTGAACATTCGGCTCCTGGTACTAAAGTTCTTACAGTCACTGCTGTAGATAAAGATGAAGGTAAGTATTTATGGTGTGAATGTGTAAATGTTTTTTTTTTAGATTCCTAGAGCTGTCAATATTGCCAACAGACTGTGAAACGTAATTTTGATTTAGTAAAACTTACACGATAAGGCTAAATTACAACAATCAAGCATGATGAAATGTTCATTCTCTTCAGCAATGCTAAAGGGAATATGAAACATAAGCTGTTTGCACATATTTTTAATGGAGTATGACTTCAGGTTGTAATAAACTCATTGGCTAAATAAACATTTTTGAAACAAGACAAGCCAGCTGTTGAAGTTTATATGTATCGGCGATCTACAATTCTAGACTCACAAACTAACGAAGTATTTGACATTCTTGAGAGTTTATTACCATTTCATTCGGTCTAGGCTAACGATATGATATTAAATTTATATTTTCTTATTATTTATTACAGGGGAGTTCGGTTCAGTCACTTACAGCTTGACTGGGAACTCATCTTCTTTATTCTCCATCGACCCCAACACCGGCGTGGTAACAGTAGCTCAGTCTGCTGACATCGATCGCGAGACTATTGCTGATATCTATTTACGCGCTGTCGCCAGTGATAATGCGCCTGCGCATCTCAAACGTACTACTAGCGTACCGGTAATTTGTTCTTTATTATACGACTTAGTTCTTCACTAAGATATTTAATTTTACGACAAATAATACCATCAACACCATTATTGCTCGTACGCCGGTTTCAAGGTGACACTATGAGGTCTGATGTGCTGAGGTCACGGATTCCCTGTCGGGTCAATATGGAAAATAAACTTTTCTGCATTGATATAGTTTGATAATTATTAAATTAATTAATGAATGTCCCGAGTGCTAGGCTACAGGCCTTTCCATTTCTATGGGTGCAAATAAAAAGTCAACAAGCCATAACTTACCGTGCGAGTTCAATGTGAGTTGTTGAGTCTTACAACTGAAGATTCATCCGGAACCAATATATGTATCAATAATAAAATAATGTGCTTTTCAAAGCATGAGAAGTGGTGATAATAAAGTTATTGGTCACTCATTCATTTAAGATTTTGTTAAGGTTGCTTAACCTGCTCAATGGCATACTGAAGCCAAAGAAATAGTCGGAAATTAAAAAAAACTTCTCTATTTCCGACCATTTTTTACTAAAATAACGATGTCTTTTGCCTTACATAAGTTTTATTAATAATCTATTTATTATGAACAGGTACATATTAAAGTCTTAGATATAAACGACCACGCGCCTGTATTCTCCCAACAAGTATACAAAAGTACCGTCGCTGAGAACATACGATTAGATCCACCACCTGCGATACTTCAAGTCTTGGCTGAAGACAAAGACGAGGGAACCAATGGAAAGATAGAATATAAAATCGTAGAGCAGAGTGAACCAGGTATTTAATATTGCGTACTAATCTTTAACGACATTGAACTTTGTAGAATGCTTTACAAATAGCTGTAGTTGTCGTATAAATTCTGAGACCATTTAGATTTTTCTATATTGTGTTTATAAAATATCGTCATAATTCTAAAGATATTTATCAATTAAATACTAAAAAATTTGCTTAAAGTTTTAGTTTCAAATTATTTTTTTCCCAGAAACCATATTTTTTCTCAATATTTTCTATAATCAATCACAACAATACAGGCAGTTTATTACCAAAAAACTCTTCTTATTATTTATTTTTTCAATTCGATTTAATTAAATTCGTTCAGTACTTTGAGTTCATCGCATACAAAATAATTTTCTATTTGTAAGTTTTCCTTCCCAAAAACACAAAAAGAAAATTAGCTTAAAATATCACAAAGTTTAATCACGCCACATTATTCAATAGGCGTATTCACGGTGGATCCAAACACTGGTATCATATACCCGGCCAAACCAGTGACCGGTAACACGACGTACCAACTGACCGTGGCCGCGACGGACGGAAGCGGACACGGACAATACACGGACACGGCGAGAGTGGACATCACTGTGCTCAGCGTTAATAAACACAGTCCAGTGTTCGTACATCCACCACCTGAACAGAGACAGTTGGAAATACCAGAGGTTAGTATCTGAAAGCTTTTCGTTTGTGACGATTTCTTTTGATTTGTTTTTTTGGATAAATGTTCCAAAAAATCAAAACACAAGGGAATTATGAGAAGGGACGAAAGTCATGTTACGAAAGAGATGGGTATGCATGTTGATGGATGTGAGTAGAGGCAGACCGAAGAAAAGATGGATCGACTGTGTGAAAGAGGATATGAATAAGAAAGGTGTGGATGTGGAGCTGACGTCTGATAGAGAAGAATGGAAGAAGAAAACATGTTGTGCCGACCCCACGTAACGTGGGATTAAGGGTAGGAAGATGATGAATGTTTTTTTGGGTAAATGTTAGTTGGGTAAATCACGCTTTAAGTAACATCGATGTATCTGCAGGGAAAAATATTGTCAATTCGAACGTTTAGTGTTTGTTATGTAAAATAAATTAGTTCTTACATTAAAATCACGCTTATTTAAATAACGTTGAGTGTTTGAGTGCTAGTTGAGTGTTCTAATGTTGCTAATAAATATAAACCATAATCTAACGCATCAAAGTCTATAGTCTAAAGGTGTTGCCACTTGTACACCATCAAGTTTAGCTTGGTCTCTCAGTGCAGACAAATTTTACAACCCAGGTGTTATTTCGAATAGATTTCGTGCCTACGCCTATTTAGTATGTCAACTAACAATTTTAGGTTTGTGTATATAGGTATATATTTTTTGTGTGTTAGAACATTTTCTATTCTTACTATTCTAAAAAACAAAAGAACTTTATTTATAATGTAAAAAATTTGAATAAAGATAATTTTAGCTTTGACAATAACTTTATAATTATATAGAACGCCGCTCAAGCTGACTACCTGATTACCACAATAAAAGCAACAGACGATGACAGTGGTGAGAATGGACGAGTGTCTTACTACCTGAAGGTAGATAACAAGAACGTCGGTGAAACACCTGAGTTCAGTCTTGACCCTGACTCCGGAGAGCTCAGGACCAAGACCTTCCTCGATAGGGAAGATAATGCAGAATATCAGGTAAGTTCATGTTTAGGATAGACTTGGAATCTTATTTTTTGTTCTATTAAATTACCTGTTCTTGTCTTTCCAAATCTTCTTTAAAACAGATGAATGTCTATAATAGGGATGATGACTGGGTAAAAAACATGCAATTCTATTTAGTCCGTCAGTCAGATAATAGAAAAATATTAGATACGTATTTTTTTTTTACTTCAATTTAACAAGAAATAGCTTAATAACGGGCATTAAAGTTGAGGAGTGGGGGCTAGCTACATCACAGTTGAGTAGAAAACGTACCATAACGTGACGTCATGCGAAATTTCAACTCAATGTAACGCCGTAATTTTATGATTACGAAAAGAATAAAAAAATACGTATTTAATATTATTTAACACTACCTGACGGACAAACAAACAAAAATTAGTCATGATCCCTATTCCATTTATCTCAATTCGGAATATACTGGTATATAGTAAATATGATAGAGCCACCAATGAAATCCACTGCTTGTGAAAGCAGTTAAAAACTAGGGTCGACTAGTTAGTCAACCAATAGAAATTGGAAAAACTATAGTAATAATAAGAATATAATATCCGAATTTCTAAAAATGAGTATCGTGACGCGGCACTGATTAATTATCAATCTACTTCTGACTAGTATTTGTACTCGTATGGCACTCGAGCAAACATCAAAATTTCATTAAATCTTAATTAAATGGATTTATCGTTACAGTTGGTAATAGCAGCAGTGGATAACGGTACTCCTGCTCAATTCGAAACTCTACGATTACTGTCTGTTGTGTTGGCGGACGATGACGATAATGCGCCACGTTTCCAGAATCCTCAACATCAATTCAGTATAAAAGAGAACTTGCCCGTGGGAGTAGTTGTTGGTGAGTGTTGCCTTTAAATTATTCATTAGCTCAACTAGCAGGTGGAGTCGCAGAAATAATAGAATAGTCTCTCTTTACTTAAGTGGGAATTAAAGTATTCAAACAATTTAAGTAAATTTAGAGAGTAAATTCAGATGGGAGAGAACATTTTCTGCTCAGATATTGTCGCCTCTCTTAATACAATTATTATATACGATTGCTCTAACCAAATAAATTTACTAATGATTAACGGTCAGTTGCACAAACGTTCATTAAGGTTTAATGACGCCTTTAAGCTCTAATGAATGTCAAATTTGTATTTAATGAACGTTTGTGCAACTGGCTGTAAATCTACTAACTCGATGAGGAAATATAAAAAGAAAACACTAAAAAGCAACTCTAGCAAAAGGCACCTCCACTTCCAAAGTTGATTTGTGCAGGAAACGAATGGACCGAAGATAGTCATTTCCGTTCCTTTTAACTAACATTAAAAAACTGAAATTTGCAAAGTTCGAAACTAAGATATCAATACAAATACGAAAAAGTACAAATAGAATATGAGTTGGTTATTGAGTTTTGAAAACTAATTTAGTTTTATATATGATAGAAAACTAGAAGGGTTGTCATGGAGAAATCAAGAAAGTACCTTAGCGACATCTAGTTTAATTTGGGGAACTAATATTTTTTTTAAATACTTCCTCGTTAAATAAAATCTTACAGATCTACGTTTCTAGCTAGGTACTACATTAGTTTAGCTAGGTCAATGGCTAATACCACAGAACATAGAGAGAGAATAGAAGTAGTAAGTGGGCGTGGCAAGCGTCGCTGGCATATGCGCTTTTACTCATATAACGCCCTTTCCTCGGTTTTATATTTGTCAGTCGTTCGTCAATCGTCGAGTGGTGATTTTACTGATTTTTTCTATAAAAAATACCGTTTTGTGCTATTATCACTTGCAAAAAGCAAAACAAAGTATACAATCTAACTAATGCAAACATTTCCTTTCACTGGTAAGTACAATTTTAGTGCTAAAATATAAAAAACGCAATAATTTGACACAATTTCAAATAAAATATAGATTGTTTGCTCAAACCAACATTAATGTTTCTAACCCCGTTTCTAGACAGCAATGTAAATCATATTGTGCACTTTTGCAAAAAATGGTGCTGTGCCTCCTGAAAATAAAAGATGAATTGATACTGAACAGATGAAATAATGAACTATTCAGGCACTTTTTTACGAAGATTCGGTTAATTATTTACACGCAGATAAATATTAAAAAATACTGATGTGCTATAAATATCTAAGTTACGAAGTATATCAACGTTTTATGAACAATATATAAATCAAACGAAACTTCGTGAAAAGCTACGAGTGTTGGCCTAATAGGTCTTATTAGAAACTGGTGAAACTGGATTTCACTTATTTTGCATTACTTATATTTCAGTTTCCCTAATAACTTTACAACGGAATGCCCTGTTTACATAATTTATTTTGTCCTATCCGTTTTAGACCTAAACCTATCAAATGAATTTCAAAACAACATATTATCTATACAAACGTAATATTGTTTGTGGTGTGAATTTAATTTACAAAATTAATTTATAGGCGTCAATTTAATTTACTTTATTATGCTGATTCATAATCGGAAACCATTATTATAGAAATCGAGTTAAGATAGCCACTTTAAAGAACCGCCCACAGAACAGCTTTTATCAATTTTTTTGTTGCTTCATTTTTGCACATAAGTTTATAAACGCATGTCTCAAACGGATGTGACTTTATATGTAGATTGACGTTTGTACGTACTTATCGCTTTTGTGTCTGTCTTCAAACTTTTTTGTCACGGTTTTCAAACTCATACTTGACCAGCGATTCCTTATTGTCCAGTCGTTGCAATTAAAAATGTAGGTACTATTATTATTACAGTTATAAAATTTAGAATAATAAAGTAAAACAAACATGGCTATGATCAATTTATTATTGTAATGATCATATTAGTTATTATGAATCGCTTTTGAATCGTCCAAAAATTTTTTTTTCCCTACCACTTGTTCAGGACGTCTTTTAGCTGACAAGAAGAACAAGCGAAAGAAACTTACCAGCCCTATGATATTTACATAAATCATGTCATTTCATATCTTATCACAATAATAAATACAACTTTCAAAGTCTGTAGGAAATAGGTTGAACATATAATTAGTCTTTATAGAACAAAGCGATGGCTATTCATTCCATGCATTGCGATTCTTAAAATAATCATCAACTTTATAATAGCCTTTACTCATAAGTATGTTCATTACATGAATTTTAAATTTATTTATGGGTAGGTCAACTACATTTTGTGGAACTTTATTGAACATAGCAATGTAAATGCATTGATCCTCTGGTTTTCTGAAGTCTGAAGCTTGGAACGGCAAGTTTATTTTTATTTCTTGTATTATGATTATGAACACTACTTTTTTTTTTGTGAAGGAATCATAATGTTTTCTTGCGTAGATAATATTTTCATTGATGTATTGAGAGGCAACAGTCAAAATATTTATTTCTTTAAATATTTCTCTGAGAGATTCTCTAGACCGTAAATTTTATATAGCATGGACAGCTCTCTTTTGTAGAATAAAAATATCTTGAATGCTAGCCGCAGAACCCCACAACAATAGATTATACGTCATTACACTATGAAAATAACTAAAATATACTAATCCTGCCGTTTCAACATTTGTCAAGAGTCAAATGCTGCAGAACTCAGTCTACTTGACAAATTATCAATATGAGGATCCCATTGCAGTCGGGAATCTAGTGTAATACCAAGGAACTTTGTCGATTTCACCAACTCAACTTTTTCACTATTTACATTTATAAGTGTATTAATATGCCTCACATTAGGTAATGCAAACTTTATGTATTTCATTTTATTTGAATTAAGCTTTAAATAATTACTATCAAACCACTGTAGAACATTGTCGAACTGAATTACATTTTACTGTTTCATAACAAAATTTAAACCTCTTATTTCATCAACTACTATTATGTCACATCACTAATATGCACAATCGGAATGATACCGGTAAGAAAAAATTACAAATTAGGCTTAATGTAATAAATACAAAAATTCTGTTGGTTTCTTAATTTTTGTTTTTTTTTACACTTTCGCTCGCTTAATTATATTACTCCACAGACATATGATAGAGTTTATCATTAAGTTTTCTTAGTTTTTGTACTGCGTTTTTTAAAAGAAGTTATATAGGGAAAAGCGTTATTTTTTAATATTCACTTGGTTACAGCAAAATCTAATCTTTATTAAGATTAGATTTTGTTCGCACATAAAATGATGTCCCCAATTTTTTAAAATGTGCATAATCTTAAAATATTTTTTCCCTTCTGGTATCCCCGTATACAGCCACGTGACAGTTCAACATTCATGTTAAAGTAAATTATTTATTATCACGTTGAATTAGAGTTTGTTTTTAATCGTGTGATTTCTTAGCTTAGTATCTTTTTGGGATTCTGTTTATGTTATCACGAACGAATCGCGTGGCAGTTTTTCATGTAGTGAACAAAATGATCATTTCATCTAATCTGTATTTGTGTGCGGAGAGGCGACACTCGGTTCCCATACTAAATCAATATCATTATACTTGTATTCTCTCTCTATGTTCTGTGGCTAATACATACAATAGTTTGTGTAACAATATCTATAAAGCGAATTTATACCGTACAATATTCGGGACATAAATATTAGACGGAATAATCAAAAATATTTTATACCAACAGGTACTGTGAAAGCAACAGATAAAGATTCCGGGGAGCATGGTAAAGTCTACTACCACATATTGGAAGGAAACCAGGATGGAGTGTTCGTGCTGGATAGGACACAAGGCATCATAAGGGCTAACATTAGCTTCGACAGGTAATATATGTACACTATTTTTAACAGTTATGTAAAATATCAGTAAATTAAATAATTTTAAGGACAATGAGGAAGAATTAAAAATAAAATTAGTTCTCCGACATCAAACTAGATGTCGCTACGGTACTTTCTTGATTTCGCCATGTCAACCCTTCCGATTTTCTTTCATGTTTAAAAGTAAATTAGTTTTCAATACTCAATAAGCAACTCATAATCTATTTGTAAGTTTTCGTATTTGTATTGATATCTAAGTTTCGAACTTTGCAATTTTCCGTTTGTTAATATGTTAGTAAAAAGGAACGAAAATGACTATCTTGTGTCCATTCATTTCCTGCAAAAATCAACTTTTGCTAGAGTCGCTATCTAGTGGAGGTGCTTTTTAGTGTCTTCTTTTTTTATATATTAGGTCCATGTTGTGGAAAACATTTCCAAATTATTTTCCGAGTTTACCTATAGAACTTATTAAACACAACTCATTGAATTTGATTTCGATTTATTCAAATTGAGCTAGCAATAAATTCAGCTATACTAAATTATAATGAAAATGTAATTAGTTACCGATTTGCTTGAATTTGATAAGTTACTGATTGTACACAACTTTGTGTACCAAATTTTAAAAGTAATTATATTTTACGTGTAGAGATTACTAACTTAAGATTTATAACAAATTTATTATTAAATACAAGCTTTTGAACTTTGACGTTGTTTGGATAGCGGAGGGTTGCGGGTTCGTATCCCATGACCGATGACGTTCAATATTTTGCTATTACCTGCCTACTCTGTTTAATTGTTTTAAACATATTTGTGCCGCTATTTATGGTGTTAGTTTGATTGTAATTAGATATTTTTTTTTTTATTCGTACTTTCGATAGTGGAATTTCAAGAACATTTGTTCTAACGACAACTTTTTCAGGGAGAAGCAACCGGAATACTCTTTAACGATATACGCCAGCAACAATCCTATACTAGAGCACGCCGCCGCTATTCTAAACTCCATAGACAATAACACTGAAAGTCAAGATCACAGCATCACGGTCGTCAAGATAAAAGTCCTCGATGATAACGACAATGAGCCGAAATTCCAACAGAACGTGTATCATGCTGGTGAGAAGACAAATTAAATTGATATCGTCTCGGTTTATAAAGAAACAGATACAAATATATTTCCTAACTCCTTTTTGATAATGTGGAAGTTGTGCTCGAGCTAATTTCATTTACAAAATGGAAGATATAGATAAGTAGGTAGTTAGAGTAACATGAAGAGGTAACATGAAGAGGAGTAGCTCGGTGGCGTAGTGGATAAGCGCCGCGGCCCGCGATCGTTGTAGTTAAGCAACTTTCGCAAGGGTCGGTCACGGGATGGGTGACCAAAAAGTTATTATCTCGAGCTACTCCGTGCTTCGGAAGGCACGTTAAGCCGTTGGTCCCGGCTGCATTTGCATTTGTTAATACTCTCCAATCCGCATTGGGCCAGCGTGGAGGGTCATGGCCCATCATGGCATATCCACAAGGAAGGACTGAGCCCCTGCAGTGGGGACGTAAAAGGGCTGTTGATGATGATGAAGAGGTTTTATAGTTAAAGCAAGTACTTCATACTTGAGTAAGATCTTCACACGAGATCTGGAAATTTTAGTAACATAAATAAATCATACAAAGTTAGAAAAGTGATTATAAATTAGCTGTTTCAATAGAAACTTCTAAAATCTGTAGAACAGTGGTTACTGTAACAGTAAAACTCTTAGACGTAGCATTTGTATTTTTTTATAGGATTATTGTTTCTGAATCTAAAGATTATATTATCAATGTCCCAGTAATAAAGCATACGGCGCGAGTGAATGAGCCGATCCTGTCAGTAGTAGCGGAAGATCCGGACTTCGAAGAGAACGGTACCCTCATCTATGTAGTGGCTGCCTCCAACCTTTACAAGTTTGGTGCTTCTGAATCCAGCGGCAGTGTGGTCCCATCGCCTTTCAATATCAGTCAAGATGGTAAGAGTTAAATTCATGAATTATATAAATAGAATAATTACAATATGCCAAAAACACAGTAGCTAGTTTAGATTTTATGCTAGAGAATTTTTATTTCTTGTAGATAGAAATAGTTTACTGAATTAAAATATTGTTCAGACAAAATGTATGGAAGAATGCATATTACAACAAAAAAAAAAATACCCTTAAATCAGGGATGCATTCGATACGATATTAATTTGCCGATATACCGATACATTTCGAGTTTACCCCATGTTTATTTTGACTTACGCTGTTTTCCACAAATTCCCATTTCTATAGTAGCTTGCTTACTTTGGTGTTCTGACGTGATATTTTTTAACTTTCCTAACTTCCGAGCTTTCTTTGAATCTTCGCTGCCTGGATCGGCACCGTATCGGTTGAAGTGCATATATATGCATCCCTACCTTATACCATTGCAATAAGGTCGAAAGTAATTTATTAAGCATACAGATATACTTACCCTGCAAAACTATTTTCTTTTTATTTATTTATACTAAGTCTGAAACGTTTTAATAATGGTACTTATTGAATAAAGCTATTATATATATAACGTGATTATTATCAGGGGTGGTGATGACCGCTTCCTATATGGCGGAGTACAACCAGGACAGGTTCGTGCTGGACATTATAGCTCAGGAACTAGCCCCGCCACATAGACAAGCCAAGGCACAAGTTTATGTGAGTATACAATTGCAAATATTAAAATTTTTTAATTAGCTGAGTCTCAACTAAGTATACAATTCTTAATGTCTATGAAAAGGTACAATCTAAAAACTTTTATTTTTTCCGAAACATAAGCTAGCTATCAGTTAATCGTCCCCGTCACCTGAAAGAGGATTACAAGGTACTTTTTCCGAGTGACTTGAAAAATTTTACTTTTGGTTAATTGGTATATTGTCGAATTGGTTTTCGAAAGTCTCCCCTCACAGAAGCACGTGATTATGTTGAATTATGGAAGTATTTTTTTTATTACAATAATTTTTCATCAATATCCTGTAGATTTCCTGCGGGTTTTTTTGTAGTATACGTTTTATGATTACTGCAAAAATCGCACTAAGTGTATACATGAACACGGCTTTACAAATAATGTTAGGTGCATTGTATATAGAGCCGTAAGTACATGTGACGCATTCGTCATTATCGAAATTCGGTATCATTCAAAAGTATTCTTCAAAATTAAAAAAGAAACTGCAGTTTGTAAAGAGGACTAGATGTTGTAAACATTTACATTAAAAATATGTTTTATTAAATTAGAATCAGTAGGCAACTCTTTGATCACCTACACTACACTACCGAGGTTAGAATTTAAACTTTTTGTGAACGATCACTAACTGCTAAGATACGGCTTTACACCAGTTTAGAAGTTAGAGGTATTATACTGTTTTTTGTAAATTATATAGGGGAAAACTGGGATCTTTCATACACTCTTTTGGCTATATTTTTTCAATGATGAATTACTCAATCACTTATTAAAACATAAAGCACACTTTCTGCTCATTAATTAAAAAAATCTAAGTCTATATCTTGTTAAATAAATTAATGGCTGGAATTTAACTAAAAGCTAATAAATGTCCGAATCTACCCCTATAACGGGGTACAATCGGGAACTTTCAGACAGTGTCAAATAAAAAAATAGGAATCAAGTGTGTTTATTGTTTATAGCTATGGATAATAGACCGGTCATCCCTGATCCGTATGGTGGTGTCGCGTAGTTGTACCGCGCCCGTATCTGGAGTACAGAAACGTCTCGCGGCCGCCGGGAACATACTCTTGGTACCAGGAAGGAGGGTGCCTTTAGTGCAGGCCGATAGAAAATACGATGATTGGTATGTTTATTATTAAAATACCTTTACAGTAATAAGAATAATTAATGTCTAGGAGGTTAAAGATGGTTGCGAAAACCATGCCTGATTAATTTAGATTGGAGCAAATTAGCAGGGAAACTAATGTTGGAAAATAAGTTTCTTCCTTATCTTTTTGATTTTTATGAAGTATAAAGATAAATTTAAAAAGTCGCCTTTGAATATGTTTAAAAATATCAGCGGCCACTGCTGTTTTCTTTCACTTAGCGACAAAGTGTCCGATGTTACGGTACGATATTTAGAAAGATAGTAACATGGATTTTTTACCGCGTAAAAAACATAATATTTTCATTTTCAGAAGTAACATAAAGGCATATAAAAATGGGTTACACATTTTTATTAGTTAAAGATCAAAATACAAATACAAAATATTTTATCAAATCAAAATTAAATGAATAATAAATCAATGAAAGGGCAACAGAAGAATAAAAATAATAATGAAATTAAATTATTTGTAGGTGCGAGATACACTTATTAGCTGTAGATCCAAAGACATATCAAGTGTTGCCAGTGGAACGAGTGCTGGAAATTATAGACTCAAAATTCGATGATCTCAAAGATATTTACCAGGAGTACGGGGTGGAGACGCTGATTGCGGCCAGCTCTACTTCTAAGGGTAATTACTTTCTAGTATTAAGTCTGCCAGTATCATATATGTGAATAATTTTTTTTTTAAGAATTTGAAAATTTAATGTAATTTGCTTGCTTGATTAAGATATTTTGTAATTCAAGACTTGATTACAAAATGTCTCAAGACTAACATGTTATATGGATACCAAGATATTGACTTGGCATTTTCTGTCTGTTTCTGCTCATTTGCCTCTTTTATCAAATTAAATAATAATTTATCGTAATTTACAGCTCCAGACAGCTTTGATCCAGCTTTGGCTGCGCTGATTGCACTTTTGATCGTTCTATTTACTGGAATCGTTACTTTCATCGTCGTTTGCGCTTGCCTCAAGCATTGGTGAGTTCGTTTATCAGTATCAGCACTTTAACTTCCCTACTGCAAGGGCTCACGTCTTACTTATATATGGTTCAGGAGGATGGGCTATTACGATGAACCGTTGCGGATTGGAGAGTATTAACGACTGGCAATGCAGCCCTTGCGTTAGATGCTTAACAACAACAATGCTCCCGAGCCTCTCACTGCAGCAGTTCGTTACCTATATGTGTGTAAATAAAATATCACTAAAACCATGAAATACTAAAAAATATAATGCTATAATATGGTCTTGTCAATCTGTCATCAGCTTAGTATAAGCAGTAAATAGGATTTGTATTGGTCTTCTGCTGAAGTTGATAATTTCAGATTGGCATTAAGAGTTCCCTACTTCTAGCACAGATAATATTAAACTATATTGTTGAAGTAATGGGAAGTATTAAGTTACTTATTATATTTTATAATTCCCTGAGGTACACCGCCTGAACTAACAAATTAAATACCATAATGAATTCTCAGAAATTCATATTGTTGCATATTAACCATTGCTGTACCAATTTTTTATTTGCCCGTTGTTTCAACTTCTACATGACAATTTTACATCCAGGGTGATACCTCCTCCGTCCATGCAGTCCAGCAAAGGCGACAGTTTAGCTCGTCGAAGGATTCTAGAAGAATTGAGTACTACAGAAAACCCTCTATGGCTGGAAACAAAACTGAGGCCGTATGAAGAACAGGAGCTCACCATGAACGTATTCGGCGATCAACTCGAACCAGCAGCAGAGCAACCACAGGTAATAACCACATAATATTTATTCCGTAGGTCAATTGTACTGGGGATGATCAAGGTCTACCTGAGCAAATCACTATCTCCCACCATTAAGTCAGGTAAGCCAATGAAGACAACTTATTGCCTACCTTATCTTAATAGTCTGCCTGAGTAGATCTTGATCGGTCCATTTTAACGATTGGTCTATGACATCTAGATAAAATTAGAGAATTTTTTGATTTGTACATATATACAATACTTTAACATACTGCAGTATCTATCGTTGTGAACTTGTGTATGTGAATTGGTCGTGGTGATTTGCGAGAGGGCTTCTACGAGTATCTAACTTAAGAATATAGTAAATTTCTTATTCATGAAAAATCAAATCTATACTAATATTTTAAAGCTGAAGAATTTGTTTGTTTGAACGCGCTAATCTCAGGAACTACTGGTTCGAATTGAAAAAATATTTTTGTGTTGATTAGACCATTTTTTCGAGGAAGGCTTTAGGCTATATAACGCTGCAACTATTAGGAGCGAAGAAATAATGGAAAATGTGGAAAAAACGGGGAAAATTATTCATCCTTGAGGGGTTCCGTTGCGTGCGCTGCGGAAACGGTTCAAGATACCAAACATATATGTATGAAAAACTATGCTATGATAACAGCAATCATTGTTTACTAGTCAATTTGTAATTATATCTGTGTCATGCTATGAATAGATACCCAAATAAACAGTTCCCTAGGTATCACGCGGGCGAAGCCGCTGGCGGAAAGCTAGTCCAATTTAATATCACCATGGAATAGTATAGAAAATTACGAGTAGAGCGCCCTGGCTATCTTCAAAATGATATATTTACTACTATTAATAATTTTTTTTTCAGACGGATAACACGTACGCAACTATACAAGGTAGTCGCACAACAGAACGGTTTGGTGACTACGCGACTTTAGGCGGAGATTCGCCTACGCCATTGGAAGCAGCTCTAGGATTTCAGGTGAAAATTTCACAAATAACTTCCGAAGATCTATAAAGCTCATCCCCGATTATATTAACCCCCAATTACAAAATAAAACATTATATTTTTATTTTATTCACCCCATTCTAGTTCCATTTTGGAATGCTTTTCTAAATCTAACAAATATTTTCAAGTTAGTGGTACACCGTTTAAATGAAAATATTAACGGTGCTTTATTAAAAGTGTTTCTGTTCGATTGTTTTTGGTCTGGCGATCTTAGATCTTCATCAAAAGTGGAGTTTGGCTGAAATAATTAAATGTTTTTAATTTGTAAATGTAACTTTGTGTAATGTTAACAATAAAGAATTTTCTATTCTATTCTAATATATTTGTTTTGGTGGATTGCCTGGTGATACGCTCTGTAGTAGCGAAAATGTAACAAGTGCTTGAAAGAATCGTCAGTCCTGTTTGGTTCTGGGTAGATCAATGGTTAGAGCAGTCGCCCGGATTGCAAAAAGTCATAGGTTCGAGTCCCATCTCAAAGTGCCAGAGACAACGTGGATTTTTTTAGCATTTTTCGTTAAGAATAGTTTTCAATGTAGCATTATTAATGCAAAAGTCATCAAATATAATAATTAGACTTATTTATAAATTTTTATTGTTTTTGTTTTCAGGGAAGCACATTTAAACCACCATCGCCGGATACTCCAGAGCCACCACCCAGACCTTCAGCGGGCTTAGGACAACTATAGTAATAATATTTTAATTTATAAGATTGAAAGTCATTCCATTTAAAAACTCGAATCTCAATTAAACTCGTGCAAAACTTCACTAGCAAAAGAATTTAGTCATTCCATCGTTGACGTATTATGTATTTTTTTTAAATCATTATATTAAAAGTTGACGAAAATCGAAAAAAAATCTAACCAATGATGTCACTTCAGTTATTGTTTAAAAAGTAAAAGTTAATATTTGCTCTTTTTATTACAAATAATAACAAAATTTAAGATACTTTAAACAGTTATTATTATAAAACAGTGTGGCCTAAGATTGTATCCTTGTGGAACACAAATTCACCAATTGTAGAAAAGAATATTGAAATAATTTTGTTTTGTTTTAATAAAACACTACAAATTAGTTAGTTAGATACTTATAAATTTTGTAGATAATTAAAAGTAAAGACTAATTTTACCCTTAATGAATCTCGATACTGACAGCTGGTATTTTACTTGATATTTTTTAATAGATTTATATTTTTAAAATATTTATAAGTAGATTAGTTAGGTATATCGGCTTCGTTTCAAACAAAAACTTGCATGTTGGCAATGTATTATATTAGTTTCGAATCATTAACAAAAGCATTCCGATGAAGACTGCTTACAGTACTATAGTGTTACCATATATCATGTGATACATTGACAACGTCCATTATCTTTAGCTCTTATTGTATGAATATCGGAACAGGTACTTTTTTCATTTCATAATTATATTTTTATGTGATCTTAGCCAATATTTTGTATAATAATTGCAATTATTTTATTACTAAATATGTTTTTATTTTTTACAATTTGTTTCTGAATTTTGGTAACTTTGCATTGTTTCCTCTATTGCATGTTTATATAAGAATATGACTGATTTGTATCGAAAATACTAAATATGTCTATTATTTGTAAAACTATTGCTATAATTGCCATATTTGTAGATTGTACAATTTTGTGTACAAATTGTATTTTATATACTTAAATGTAAGTACCAATTGAGATATTATTGAATCTATCTAACGTTACATTTACAAAACTTTATGTATGTAACATATGGAGAACTTTATTGTAACTAGGTAATTTTATAAACGAATAGTCAATAATATAGATTTCGTTATTTTGTAAATATATAAATTTTTGACTTTTACACCTAAAAGTATTATTTAACGACTCTGAAAACAATATATTTTGATACTTCAGCATTTGTGTTTTTATATAATTCAATGTCCTTCCTTATTTAATGCATAATATAAAGACTTCAATAATTAATATTCATCTGTATCTTTTTTAATGCCTTTATAACACCTATTTAATGAATCCATTACAACTCTGACCGTATCCAGGTAAGACGACAGATTTACGTTGAGGCACTCTTCCAAGAAGATCATGGATGTGGTCAATTTCAAATAAAGCTCTCCCATTGCTTCTATCTTCATCATTATTAACCTTTGCAAGGTGTTGTTGTAGCCATCTCTTTCTATCTGCAAGATTATGATTAATTATACTTCAATATGTAGCATGATCATCGTATAATATATTTTAGTAAATTCAAACGTGTCATGGAATATCCTTTAAAGATCTGATATTTCACCATCTTATTGGACATTACTATCTTGAATTCAAGAAAGTTTATACCTCATATAGGGTCATCCATAAATTACGTCACACTTTAGGAGAGGGGGGGGGATTGACGAACTGTGACATTAGAACAATATTTTGTAGAATTTGTTATAGATAAATATGTGACATGGGGGGGGGGGGGTAAAAAAAACTGAATTTTGTGTGACGTAATTTATGGATGGCGCCTATGAACTTTTAAAATATAGTTCTTAAATACGTTATTATGATATACGTACATATTCCACCAAACAAGCGCCTGCTTTTTTTGCATCATCAGGATAGTTAGTGTCGCACAAGTGTATTAAATATTTATAACTTTTACGCCATCGTTTTATCTGTAACTTAACACCATATAATCAAAAATACAATACATTAACTCTTTAACTACAAATCTTATCTGTTATGTTACATGCCTCTCTTTCTAGTTGTTTTAAACCTTTCCTCTTATCTGCGTCTTCTGCGTTGACAGTCTTCAGGCAGTCACTTTCATTTTCATAATACATGTGCTCTGATGCATCTATATCAGCTGAGTAAATATCCAAACACTTGATCCACTAGAAATCAGGTATAGTATTAAAAATGTGAAACTTGTAGTGTTCTCAAATTGTGTATATATTTTTTTATAATTCAGTAAAAGTAAAGTTTTGCGTCTACTAATTTAAATTTTAGTAAAAGTATTTTAGGACAACAATATTTTTAATTTTATGGAAATCATAAGCAATATGTGAAAGATTGTACCCAATTTATATTCCAGTTAAAATGATGGTCACTATGTTAAAGAAAGATTATTAACATTCGTATTATACAAAGTAGCGTTACGTGACGTGATGAGAAGACCAAAATTCACAATCACAATGCTACCGTAAATTTGTTCAAGCATTCTTATGAAAAATGCTTGAACAAATCTACTTTGTCCATGGTACTTTGAGATGGGATTCGAACCCACTACCTTTCGCAATCCGGGCGACTGAACCACTCGGCTCCCTGGAACCGAATCTGGACGAATTTTCCAAGCACTTTTTCGCTACTACAGAGCGTATTCTCATCAATGTTCAGGCAATCCACACAAACAGACGAAAGAAATATTTTTAGGAATATTTTAAACTTTAAATATAGATGGTTCTAATTATTATATTTGATCAATTTTGCATTCACAATACTCTACTAGAAAATATTTTTAATAAAAAAATACTTATTTTGTCCATGGTAATCTGAGATGGGATTCGAACCCAAGACCTTTCGCGATCTGGGCGGCTCCTAGATTTCTTATCTGGTATGTAAAATGACATATCATAATATTTTCAAATTATTAATTTTCCTTACTTTTTTATCGAAAGCACTTCTCCTAAAACTGTGATCTTTATGTTTCATCATCTGCACCCTGAACCTCGTAGTGATATTGACCCTCTTTATTTGGAATTCATCACTCCAAGCACTGAGGAGACCTTTATCCGTTTTACTTAAACTTATTGACAAGTTGATATTTGTGGAATACGCTTGTAGGATTTTTTTTATAGCGTTCGGTGATAACTGAAACAAGAACATATAATATTTGAAAACGGTATGATATTTGGTGTTTGGTCCCTAATAGACAACTCCTTGATGTGATCCAAATGCAATTTCCAAAATCCAATGTTTCTATTCACGCATTTAGCGGTGTTTCGTTCACTTTAATAATCATTACCATGTAATGTTGATGTGTTAAAGAAAAAAGAAAATATTGTCGGTTTCTTTAGTGCATGGTTTTTAATTTCTTCCCAGACTTTAGTAAACCATCTTGAATACTCCATACAAATTCATTAGTTTGTTCTTTTCTTTTATTCTCTCATTATGGTGATCGTGAAGTTTAGTTTCTTGTAATCGGCTAGTTAGTTTGGATTTCTGGATTTGATCACTCCTACCCTGTTTTTCTTTACCGTAAATATTTTATATCACTTCCTAAATCTAATTAAATATATCTAATATATATATATATATATATATCTCTATATATTTAGTTCCATATATATATTCATTCATATATTATTCCATATATATATATATATTTAGTTCCATTCACTTACCTCACCATAAACATTACTAATTACAATTAAAACACACCACAATTTGATAATATTCAATTCCATCGTTTATTTATAATTCACAAATCAGACATGTGAAGGCTGTTAAGCGATTACTGCATTGAGGATAAAATCTAGATTCAAGATCAAATACTATAATGTATTTTGATAACCTGTGACAACTGCATTAAGTCTAACAAACTGAAATAAATCTTATTGAATTGTGATAAGATCGTTCTGTGGGTAATCTAGTTCTATTAGTTGATTTATGAGTATTGTGTTATCTAGTGTTTAATTATTTTATTTATCCGGGAAGTTCTTCATTCTATACTTAGTTAACGGGAAGTGTTTTGTAAAAATATTTCTACAAAATTAATATTAATATTGTATGTAATCATCATTTTTGTTTGTCTCAGCATGCATTCTTCTTTCATAATCTTCTGTAAAAATCCAAACCCAAATTCTAATTAACTCAGGTGTCTAAATCACTTCAAAAAGCGGCATCTTAAATTGGCAATAACGTTTCGTGGCATAAGTGAAGTGAGTTTCAAAATGACATGCGAATAGAATATTTGAGACACGTATGTTCAATCAATCTTGTTTTGTATTTTTATACAAAAAAATGGAATTAATAGAACTTGGACTATTTCTACTACTAAACAACGTGTATTTGGACATATGAGTAAATTCGAATTCGGGTCTGGATTTTTATGCAGGGCAGCATCATAAGATAGTTCGTTCCTTTCTTACTCATCCTTCATACAGTTTTCTTCTTTTTACAGTTCCGTCCACATTCATGCTTAAAACATATATTTTATTCTTATTCATGGCCATATTTTTGATTAAAAGTGTTTTAATAGCATAGGGTAGGAAACACTTCAGGGACAATAGATAGGGTAGATTAAAGGGATAATCTGTGCAGTACTAAAGAATATCACTGCCGTGCGTAGTCATGCTCGATAGTGTAGTATGGATTACAGTAAAAGCCGTGTTATGTATAGAGGCAACATTTTGTCCACGCCACGTCAAAGAAAACAACGGCAAATCGTGTCGTAAACAAGCGCTGTAACTTTATAATTGTGACGGAGTTTCGTAATATCGTATATATCATAATCGTAGACAATCATGACCTGGTAAAATATCTTCTCATACCTCAGGTCAACCACCAACAATAACATTCCCAAGGAGAGGTGACGTCGTGTGACACCGGTCATGAAACCAACAGCCAAAAAGTTTTTTGCAATATGAAAATATTAAGGTTGAAACAACATTTCCTTTGTGTAGTAACAGTGTTACCTATATAAAAGTTGAAAGATCCAAAATTACTTATGAGCATAAAATCAAAAAGACAAGTTGCTTTTGTTAAAGTATTTTAATTACAAAAATAATATTTTTGTACTCTTTTGTAACATCAAAACATATTTTTAACAAGAAGACAACAAGTAACGACAAGTACATATCATCATAAATTAATTTCTTTGACACATAACTTCATTCTTGACCTAATTCATTTTTAAATTTACTAACTACAAATATGTTTAGTTATCCATAATTAGTATTAATAGTTTAATAAATTAGGTCTAAACTATCACAGTGAACCTAAGTACTGCATTTAAAGTTTTGGTAACACATTGACATACATTTATAGCTTAAACATTTATTACACATTTATGAAATCATAATAGCAATAAATAGGGCACTCAGCTTTAAGGAATTCATTCGAAGCACAGCTTAAATACACACCTTAGCCATCCAAAGCATTTAAAACCATGATTTAATTATTTAAAACAAAAAAATAACCATATAATATCATATTATAATAATATAATCGAAAGGCCTACAGAAGATTAGGAACCGCCAATTCTTAATATATAATTAATTCTAATACTAGAATAATCTAATTTAACAAAATTTTGTCATTTCATTTGTGATAAGAATATTTTAAAAAACTAAATTGATAATATAAAATTGTAATCAATAACAAGATAACAGAATTATCAACACGTCGTAATAAAAACATTTTCTTTTTTTTTAATTTTAATTATGGCACAGCTAGTAGTAATCAAGTCATTCATATTTCAAAGAAGCTAATAATTAAAAATAATATCAACAAAGCTAAATATTTATTTATTTTATTAGATGGTAAAAAGATTATTCTATTAAATAGTAAGTATAGCTTTATTTATTGCTTTAACTAAAGTGCATTATATGTTGTTATTCATTGTTTCTTTTGTGAAAACTTTAATAAAATGTAATTTCTAAAAGGAATTTCACTATCTTATCATCAGTAAAGAACAGTTTAATTTTTTTGCTTGTAAGGGATTTTTTCAAGTTTCATTTGAATGCATACAATGTCAACATTCCGCAATTGATTTTGAAAACTAGTCCTAATTAATAAAGTTTAAAAATCAAGTGGAGTGAAAGTTTTGCATAACTCTACGGTTGACTATACCTGCTCTCTCTTTTCTCACTGTATGAATAATCCTTTCTACTAATTCAATCGACGAATTCTGAATTTATTCGGTTGAGACGAAAACGATAAGAAAAACAATATGGCAGTCTTAATTCAAACATTTTTTACTCGTATACCTAATTCTATTGTAACTAATTTTGTATCCACAGTGGGAATAAATCAACAACGAGAGAGCCTCGGATCGTAAAGCATCGGCAAGAGACTTGGAGAAGGTGCTTATTTTTTCCTTTTACTTTTTAATTTTCAATCAAAAATCATCGCTGTATATGTATGGAAATACCAAATCAGCCAGTTCACAAACACGAGACAAATTATAATCTCGGACACTTCCTATCGCTACTGAAGATAAGATTTGACGATTCTGAAGACGTTTTACTGATGATGGGTTAATGTTAGTCGGTATTAACCTAATTAGCACAGCGTTCAGTGTATACAAGTTATAAAATGTTCGATGATCTCCTTCGCCCTGTTGTTGGCTTGTTTACGCAGGTGATTGAGGTGTCTATGCGCGTGAGTCAGCAGGTCTTTGTACGATCGTCGCGTGTGCTGGATATCATCTCTTACTCGATGTATCTCGTCGGCCGCGTGGCGGCGCCACCGGCGGACTCGAGGTGTTGTCTGCAGATGATAATTATAATACGATCTTGTTTATCATTCGCTTATATTTGCATCATGTAGATATATATATTGTGACAAAAATCGGGCGTGTGTGTTTGATATATGCAAAAATTATATAGGCAGAAATTGCTCTTTAGCGATAAGGCCGCCGATTGTACAACTAAACTGTATCAATTTTAATTCCTCTATATTTTATGGTGTACAATAAAGAATTTATTCATTCATTCATAAAATTATTATTCATTCATTCATTCATATCGACATTCGGTTGATTTGCTAATCGGAATTCTTAGTTATATCTTTAGTCATTAACACCCATTAATCCCAATAGACCCATGTAGTGGCTAGTGAGTTAGTTGGTCCGCTATTCCTGTGTTTCTATCCACGGGTAAGGCCTATAAGTACTTCGACAGTGCACATAAATTAGATTATAACATTTCCGTTTCTTCCCCAAATGATTCCGATTTATTTAAAAACAAACTACTCACTTCGCAAGATATTCCACAGCTCGCAATAACCCTGTCACACTTTTTAATGTAGTCTTCGCTCTGAAATTAAAAGAGTAAACAAAGTCAAGCAATAACTGATTAAATGTGTAATGTAATTTATCTATCTAATATTATACTCGTCTATCAAATAAAATTGCGATTGTAAAAAACATCATTCGTTTTGTCTATAAAAATATAAAAACACCGAGAACGCAATCTTTTGACAGCAATCAAAGCTAATAAAATCGAAATATATAAATATTGTAATAATTTAATGTTCATCATCATTATCATCATCCCCAACTCTTTTACGTCCCCACTGCAGGGGCTCAGGCCTTCCTTATGAATGGTTAAGGAGGGTGGGCCATGTCCCTTCATGCTGGCCCAATGCGGATTGGAGAGTATTAACGACTGCAAATGCAACGGCTTAACATGCCTTCCGAAGCACGGTGTAGCTCGAGATAATAATTTTTTGGTGACCTATCCCATGACCGACTCTTGCGAAAGTTGCTTAACGACTACGATCGCGGGCCACGGCTACTCTACACCACCGAGTTACTTTTAATGTTATTTGTGTGTTATTATAATTCACAGTATACCTTATTAAGATGCATGCGGAACACAACCATGTGACCCAACAGGAACTTGTGGTGGTTGACGCCGCTGAAGCTAGCGGCCAGCTTGACGTCACTTTCTACTTTAAACAACTTCTTTTGCAACTCCTGTCGACAAGACTCTGGCTGAAAATAATAATAAAAGATAAACTTTTGAATAGAATAATTAAACTGACAAAATTCATAGAAACGTTTTTATAAAAAAAAGTTTCTATTAATTTTGTTATGGTTAAAAGAAACATATGTACAAACGTAGTAAAAGAATCAAAATTCTGAGGAATCTTTAATGAGGACTAAGAGTTGTTGAATTGCAACTCATTCTTTTCGAGCATTCTGCGGCGCGGATTTCACGCAAACTATTTTTCTTTCTCATTCTAGCAAGAAAAGGATAGAGCGACGGAAAATATCAATAAAGTACTGCCAAATGTAGTTTAACTTTAAAAGCCTAATAGACACGAGAAATGTTTTAAATAATTACAGTCTTTAAATTTAAAAAGAAAATATTTTTAACAGCTTACAAAAAATAATTAATTTATTAGTCAATTTTTGCATCCTAAATTTAAATACACATGACATAGGTACATTTTATTCGATATAGATGAATGAGATTATGTTTTAAACTAGATACCAACATTACATCGAAATACGAAACCTGTCGGTATTAAAATAAGGTTGTTCTTTATTTAACAAAATCATGTTTATGTAATGATGTTAAATTTATTTGGATCGCCATTGATGAAAGTTAAAAACAGAAATTATAATTACCACGCTGTGATATAGTATCGAGCGCCATAAAAAGAGCGTATTATTTTAATAGGAAAAATAAACTTTGCCTTAAAATATTATGACGACGTAATAATATAACGTATATTAGATCGATAATAGATTATATTGATTTCTATTCAGAAATCTAAGAGAAATAGAGAGATGTAATTCCATTATTAACCGATTTCGAAATCGAAAAGTAGGAGGTTACATGTTCGAAGAGACGTAAGTTTTTTATTTATGTTCACCGATATTTCTGCCAATTAAATATCTTAAAAATCGAATCGTCTAATATGCGACGATTCGATTTTTAAGATTTTTCGTAGATGAAAGAATTTTATAATCGGCCTAATTTTTCGGAGCCTTTCCAATGCATTCTTTTTTTATTTGAAAATAAACGATATTAATCTTTTTTATTGACTAACATGTTACAGTAATACCAATTAATAAATCAATATTAACTATTGCTTACAAATCAACATTTCCAAAAGCTACTGATATTATGGTAGTATGTTTTACTACAAATATTCTATTATGTTTATCTACAAGACCGTAGCTAAATAGAAATAATATTAATTACCAATAAAATATTATATGTTAAGTACTTCACTTAATAGTAATATTTAAGATTATGTCTGTTACAGTAAAGTAAATCGCTCGTTTCATAGCTACATTAAGGGTACAATCCAATAACAGCGGACAGATAAGCAGTAGCGTGAGCATCATAAGCAGTAACGGGAACTATGTGAGCGTTAATGCTTTAGTCGCTTAAGAAAGAGATAAAGTTATTTAGCTATAAACTTCGATAAAGTCAAGTCTTAAGTGATGTGTCGAGAATGAAAGCGGGGAAAGAAACGACGGATTTCTTGGGCGTGCTTTTCATTTGTCGAAAATCATCCTGCCTTTCAAAAACTTCAACAAAATGAAAAGTTTTTATTCCCATCTAACTCAATTTACGTGAATCTACATTCATTCATCATCCTTGGAAGTACTTTTTACAAGATAAACATTTTCCAATGACATCCTTCAGCATTCTATCTCTACTGTGGCAGGTCAAAGGCAGAGGGCACCGTTGGGAAGCACCTCACAGAACACACTGTGTAAACACTTAATCAAAACCTATTGTGACTTTAAAATTATAATTATTTCTACTAAAATGTATGTATCTATTAGTTTATTAAAAGAGTAAAGCAAGAGAAATAGTAAATATTAATAATCCTTATCGTAGTAAAGTTGTTTGATTATTGGTCTCTTGTTCTGGAGGTCATAGACTCGATTTAAGGAGTACACAGAAGAAAATATCACTTCATGAGGTACAAGAAAGAACGATGTAAGTTTTAATTTAAATATTTTAAAGTCTATTTTGTAACATTTGTAAAATTTTGTAACTCTCTGTAATTTTACACCCACATAGCATGTGCCTAGTTTTACCTAAAAACTAATACGCCGCTCATCTTAAAATGTTTCCGCTTTCCTAATGCGTATAAAATATTGTCATACTATTTTTAGTATAAGACTTAATCGAGTTTTATTCAATATTTATGTGGAAACATCGAGTGTTGTTATTTCCAAACAATGTCGGCTCAGTTAAACATATTCCGCTAATCGCTATCACTATGCTCCCAAACTCCCACCCACTGTCAAGGTTTCTACTTGCCTCCACTGACGCATGTGCCGTAGTACATAAACAAATATATCGGTGCATATGACTTAAATATATTCGACTGACTCGTAAATATAAATAATATACGTTATTGAACTTTTCAATTTTGTCACAAATAGTTATAATACCTATAAATAAATAAATATTAGACAACATCACATACATTACTCAGATTCCAAGATGAGTAGCTAAAGCCCCCGTATTATGGAGTATCTGAGACAACGAAGGTACCACAACACCCAGACCCGAGACAATATAGAAGAGTTCATTTTCTACATTGACCCGACCGGGAATCGAACCCGGGACCTCAGAGATGGCGACACCTTGAAACCGGCGTGCGAACCACTCGGCTACGGAAGTCGTCAAATGTACATATATGTACATTTGTATATTCTACATGTACTATGTACATTTATATATTCCACTTTCTTCAGACCTAACAGTATAGCATTGAGACAACAAAATTGATGAAATATATTAATTAGTACTTTTCATCGACATCGAAAGTTTAAAATATTTGTAAAAATATTTGTTTCGGCCGTCTGTGTGGATTGCCTGAACATTGATGAGAATACGCTCTGTAGTGAAAAAGTAACAAGGGCTTGGAAATATTCGTCAATGCTGTTAGGTCCTGGTTAGCAGCAGTGGTTGGTGCACTCGCCGGATTGTAAAATGTCGTAGGTTCGAGTCCCATCTCAGAGTGCTAGGGAAAAATGATTGTTTAAGTATTTTTCAGTATAGCAATGTGAATGCAAAATTTGATCATATATAATAATTAAGATTATTTAATTAATTCGTTCTTGTACCCATAAATATAAAAGCACCCAAAAGAATAAAGCCCCTAATATTTTATTGCATGCACACTGTTTTTGGATGTTTATTTATTTATTTATTTTTTGTTCTTTTTAATTGTAAACCTATATTTTTTTATTCAAGAAATAAAAGGCTTTTTATTTTATTTATTTATTATTTATTAATTAATTTCTATGTAAGTTTTTATTAGCTAGTAAAACTTGCCTAGATATATAATCAACAAACAAATTCATATATAAAATAAGAGTAATTATAAATCTATATTTTTGAAAAAAGTTTTCAAACATATGCGATAGCGTTGTCGTTCTCGTGTAACGAAATTTACATTAATCGGTCTCAAAATTTTCAATTTCTTGTCACCTTACGATGACGTACGGGATCTGGCTGTTGATCAAAATCTTTTAGCGTGCCAAATCTACGACATCTCTCGTTGGACGTGTGCTGGTACAAGTATCAATAAAGAACTTCGTACATTACACCCTCTCAAAGTCAAAAGTCAAAGTGAATACTCTATTTATTTAAATCAGTTGGATAGTGCAATATTTTATTTGTACTATATATATTATCAACTACATATTAAGGTCTTCCATTAGCTGTAAAGAAGAGTGAGCGTATTCACATTTAATGTCAAAGAGGCATCGGAATTCTCTTCATATTTCGATTTACTAAGTAATATTTAACAGATATGGTATTATTTGATCGATTTGCTGTTAATAGTCTGATATTGATAATAATGCATTACATCTACTAGATAAAGCAAACACGTATCAAGAATAACCAGATGACCGCTCAGACTACTGAGCTACCCAGGACCTAACAGGACTGACGAAACTTTCAAGCATTTGTTGCTTTTTAGCTCAATAGACATAAATTTCGCTCCATATTACATACTAGCCCTTCGATAACTCATCCGCATGCTGCGTGCGGACGATTTTTTTCCTTAATTTCATTGATAATATTTCTGTTGACCAATGAGATGAGCACACAGAGGCCGTCCGCACTCCAAGTGCTAACCTCGTAGAATAATGTAGCTGAGACATTGAGAACAGAGTAGGTGAAAGAATTTTTAAAATCGGTCCAATAGTTTCGAAATTTCTTCTTTGTAATATTAGTATGGATTAGCTAATTTCCTGCGACTTCTCCTGCGTAAATTATAGTGTAGAAAACTAAAACCAACTTAAAAAATATTAAAAACTACTAACGAGGTAAACAAATTCAAATATCTTCATCCGAATTAGGACGAGGATTTTCTGTTCATTCTTTTATCCATAAATATGAATACAATTTCAGACGATGTTGTCGACCAAAAAGTATTTTATCAAAAGTGTGTAATATGCGACGACCTTAGAGCAAACATGCAAATGAATTAATAGATTTTGCCTTAACTATATCGAGTACAATATCTGATCCAACAGGCAAGGTCAGTTACCAAATTTAATGGTTGATAAAAGTAGTAGTTAATATATAATCTCTACTAATTAACCGAATATTTGTTGATTGTAATGAAAATAATGATATCTATACTAATCTACACTAAATGGCCTTACCAATAAGAGATGTATAAGCGTGGTATACACATACGAACACGCAAACAGTGCTTTTTCTTCTTAATTCGAACTGGAAGTCAATTTGCAATGATGTGAACAAAACGTGTATCTAAACAACAATGATAAGTCTCTTATTTAAGGTAATTAAATTATAAAGAGTTTGCATTTTTGCATTGAATAATCTCCAAAACTACTGGACTGATATTAAATTTTCTTTCACCTATGGGAAATCACATTATACGCGGCTGACAAATGCTATCATTTTTGCGAGTGAAGTCACGGGAATACCACTAGTTAACCAATGATTGAGATTTGTTTATTCAAAATAAAAATAAACATCAACTACATTATTTGAATATTAGTAATGATAATAGATGTTAATTATAGTATGCAGTGTCTTGATGTAGATTATTTTGAAATGCCCCAAAACATTAGTTTCGTGCTATCTAATTTATTGAATTTCTATTATATATCTTATTTATCAGTGAAAACATTTGAAACTGAATGCCGCGGAAATCTCTACACAATAATAATAGTGCAGTCATTGGAGAATACCCCTACTAAGGTATCCGATGAAGAGGAACCGATCATGAAAATTCTTTCACCGAGATGAAGCTACATCACACGCGTAACGTAAGCGATGTCGCGGGAAAACAGTTAGAAAATAATAATTTTGATGTGTTCTTCCTAATTACTTAGTAGGCCTCTCAGTGTTTACGTGTTTACGGAAAGACACTGATGCAACCAAAACCAATGTGTTCCCAAAGCAAGAAAAACATTATTACGAATTAATGTTCTGAATGGGTTCGAGGTAAACTGTTGAAATATCATTAGATAAAAATAGCAGGATATTTTATTTTAATTTCAATTGCCTATTACTTGTGAACAAAGTAATCTATTGTTTAAACTCTATAGAAAAATACGATAAGGTTGGTCTGCAAATGAGTGGATAAGCAACTTTTGCAAACTAGATGCGGATCAATATATTTAAAAGTGACAGAAACAAAGAAGCTCTTTGTTCGTTTCTGTTACGCTATTGATTCCGATGATCACTATTGATCTAAGTGTCTCAATTTGCTCATTTAAGTACCCTCACCATTATAAACACTTATTCTGGAACATAAAAATATTAACGCTGATTAAAATTCTGAACTAGTGCCTTTACATACAAGCAAAATTATCAGTATTCATAGTAAGAGCCACGATCGTGCACATATCTGGTGCATGTGTAATGCATATCGGATGCCTGCGCGTGCGCATACTAGCCCAGATAGGCTAATAGTATAGCCCTATCTTGGGGATATTGATTTTACGAATGACCTGCTTTTAGATTCCACGTATGACGAAAGTACCGATAGTGTATAATTTTGATCAGTATTAAGCAACAATCTGATGAATTCCTAATTTTTGGTAAATTTTTAAATGCATCGTGTAGCTTCCTGGGAATATGTAATTAAGTAATTTTACGAAGCAGAACATTGATTACTTAATGTTAGGCACAAACCAACTTACCGCACTATTCAAAACTGCAGAGCCAAGAGTTGCAGCCGACCTGTTGCTGAAACCAGACATCTCACGCAGGAAATGTCTCAGCTCCATTCCAGCGCGACCGGAGAACTCCGTATAGAGGAGTAGAGTGTCATCCTGAACACAACAAAAAAAAAATACAAAAATACATATAATCATTCAAGTCAATAAAAAAAATGCTTGGTTTTCTGCATAACTACGAAGCTTTATTATCTAGGTATGATTTTCGTGAATGATACTTTGTTCTACTTTTGCATCACAGACCGAAATGAAATATAACTTACGCTACAAAGTTCAGATACAAAAATGTATATACAGACTCATGTTGAAGTCAAGATGTGTCAAGATGACAAGGAACAGTTACATTATGCAAAACTATCACCGATTGTTTATGCGCTGTTGTGTGTATAATCTTGTGTTGAAATATTTGTACGTAGTGTATGATATTAAGTACCTTCGCGCTCTGGAGTTCTTTCACCAGTTCAGGTGTATACCGCTTCTCTATCTCTTCAACCTCATCAGTAGTTGGACTCACCTCCACCCATAGCGATGTATCCTGGAAATATTATTATTATTCTATTTATTAGGGTAAATAAACAGAAACAAATTAACAAATTAACTTTACATTTCTTAATTACTAATGGTTGATTATTTATTAAGTCTATACTGGAGATATTTTAAGAATCAATCATAAGTACTTCCAAACACATCGTTTTGTTCCCGCTGTATTTAAGAAAGGTGACACTTGATAACTGTAAATTGGATGCTGGGTCAAGCTACACTTTGTTCATTAGAAAATAATTAATGTCTAGCGATCTTACCCTAAAATAGGACTAGCTTTTTTCCAGTGACTTCACCTGTGTAGATTACAAAATTATTTGATAGTATGTTAGTCCCAAAGAACGTTTTTTAGGATAAAGATAAAGCTTAAATATTAATTAAGGCATTGAACTATCCGTATACGAAATTTCACCCCAATCCGTAGACTAGATATTGCATAAAAGAGTAACAAACTTACATACATATTCACACTTTAGCAACTGTAATATTAGTAGGATAGATGGATAAATTTTAGAGTAATATTATGCGATCATAGCACGTAATAATATAGGTTATGCAACAACTGGTACATTAATGATAGAAAACAATTTCATAATTGATGTTACCAATTATAATATAACTTAAAAATACACCCTCTCGATACTCATACATGCATTCCTCATATTACACACAGAGAGGACTTCTTTTCTTTTCTATCTTTATATAATTTACGACTTTCAATATTGTGTTAACTATTTTTTAAACTGATTTTTTTTGTTCCTAAAATGCAATATTTTAAATAAAACAAATATGTAATGTAATACATTGATTAATGTCCGAGGTTAGAGGCGTCTTTTACCGATGTTTCAGGTCCACAACCTAGTTCGGTGATGGACGCTACCTATAAGCAAGGTTTATTTTAAATAATTCCTATATGAATATTTTTGATAAGCTTTGTATGAACTTAGTTAATTTACGGACAAATAATAATAATAATTTATTCGAAATATTACACACTGACCTTAAGTTTATTAACAAAGTGTTTGAGATTATATATGATGGTCAAAGGTCTTAGACCCGTGCAGACATATCACGCTTGTAATAAAATAAAAATTAGAAAATTAAAACTTCAAACATTCTTTCTTCACATACAAATTTAAAAACTAATTTACAACGGAATGCTATACACGTGGAATTAATAAGAACATTAAACTTTATTTCTATAGTAATGACGCATAACAACACGCGCGAATAGTAGACCTGTGCCTTGCTAATAATAGGTTTAGGTTTAAATATAGTCTGACATAGTAAAGTGCTGTGTAAACTTCACCTTTAATCCACGTTATAATTATTAAATTAATGCGTATTACTCTACAACATCAATCACAGCAGACGATATATTAATCTATTACAAAGTCAAAGCTACTGGCAATGAGTACTGTTAATTTTGAAATTAATAATACAGTTGAAAGTAATGAAACCTTCATGATGCATTACAATAAGGTTCATTTACATTTTGTAGCATGTATTAGACTTTAATTTAAAATATGCACAGATCAAACGAATGGTTGGATTGATAAAACTTCCCAGAAAGAATTTTCTAAAACCAGTTAATTTTTATTATATTTAATATCGATACCCAAGGAAATAAAGTTTTTAGTAAAATTATATTTTTAGATGCAAAAAAGTTTATTATATTCTACTAGTTTCAAGCTCCTGGAAGAAAGCTAGAATTAGACATTTAACGTTCCTCTTGAATCACTCTGTATATTGACAAATACCGCATTAAACTTTGTTTTAAATTATATATACATTTAAATTTATTAATCTTATTACATTTCCTTCAAGATAGCTGCAAAAACTTACAAAAGAACATTACATATTAACGATCGTCTACTGTAAAATGAAGTGTCTAAACTTTTACCCGCTATTCTTAGTGATCCCTATGAAGTACATTGTTACTCTAACATACTTTGTTATATTATGCAGGTGTGATGCGTTCGATGTGGCCTTGTCATACCGTACCAAGGTCGCACTAAACCAAGTTATTGCTGCAAAATTATTATAACTCTGATGTCACAAAGGAAACATAAACTTCTTCCGCGCAGAATGCGTAAACAGTAAGAAAACAATAAAAAATATATGTTCCGCCGAACGTATAACATAGCTCTGATCCCAAGGTAATGTGTAACCCAATTAGCTAAAGCACTAGCAACAAAAATAATGTCGTCTAACAACGTCCACAACTCTAAAGCTCGATGTATTAAAAACGCCTAAAATAAGTTTTATATTATAGTCCTATATTACAGCTAAATCACTTCTGCTTCCAATATTGGACTACGCTGATATGTGTTAACCCTGACATTAATGAAGCTGAATGAAATCAGCTGGATAAATTAGAACGTCTCCAAAATTACTGCATTCGTTTCATTTATGGCTTACGTAAATACGATCATGTCTCCATCTACCACAGAGAACTGAAATGGTTGCCTATTAGACCACGCCGGAATTCTCACATTCTTCATCTTCCATACAATATTTTCTTTATCCCTTATCTACCCTCTTTATCTTAAAGAACGATTCGTGTTCCTTCATCTATTATAAACTTTAATAATGATGAAACAATGTTAGGCGATAGAGCTTCTTCTTCATCATACTCTTAGCGGAGTAGTAGTGGTCGTCAATTCTACATTAGCGGTCTGCGTCACAACGCGACACCACTCTCGCCTGTCTTATGCGTTGTGCAGCGGCCGGTTTATAAGATAGAGCTGCTGAAGTCTTCCCTGTCAATGTTTCTCTAATAGCATCTCCGTCTCTTTGAGCATTGAGGAATGACCTATTTATGTAATTTTATCTATTTGGAATAATGCCCCGTCCATAACTTGTATCTCTTTTATAAACCATTTAAAATAATGTGACTATTCAATTGTTAAACTAAAAGTTAAGTAAACATCTTTAACAATAATATTCAGACAGTCGAAGCTTTCTTCATAAATTCTATATAAAAATGCCTTCTTCCTATTAAACAAAGTTGCCTCTTCTTTTGTCTAATTCATATTAAATCAAAGGAAAAAATAATACAAAACAAGACATCCATTGGTTGGCAAAAAAAAATGTTTGTAAAAACTTATCGGCTTTTAACAGTAGCATATTCACATTAAATATGTTATTATATTAATAATCATTAAAGTCCAACTATCGTAATAACGGCGCATTAGCGACTAGAAGTGTAAATAAAAATATTGGTCCAATAACATCACCCTGTGTGAATGCCACGCTACAACAGCCAAATGTCACGTTGTGACTCAATCAGTGGTCTGCCAATGTTTTCCTGGTAATGACTGAGCTGGCCAGTTACCTTCATTGACTGTTGGATTATCTGAATCAAAATGATACTTATTTATAATGATAAAAATTGCTTAAAAAGTCCACTTTGTCCCCATTCTGAGATGGGACTCGAACCTATAATCTTTCGAAATCTGAGCGACTGCTGTAACCAATGAACTACCCAGGGCCTAATAGGACTGACGTATTTTTCAAACACTTGTTACTTTTTAATATAAAAATTAGAACAAATTTTCATCTTTTTCGAAAGTTTCAATATTTGTACAAATATTTCTTTCCGATTGCCTGGATTTTGATGAAAATACGCTCTGTAGTAGCGAAAAAAGTATCAAGTGCTTGAAAGATTCGTCAGTGCTATTAGGTCCTGGGAAATATGGAATAAAATCACAAGTATAATTCATTTGTAACTTGTCAATAAGCCCAGGAAATTTACTAGCGATTTACGGATTTAAAGTGTATTAAAATTTTTATATATAATAACATAGAAAGTAATTTCAGTATTCCGTTTTAGGTACAGATACTGGGGGCCAATTCTATTAAGTAAATTTTGTTTAAATCGAATCAAAAACTAATCGAAAACGGATCGAAACCGAATGGAACTACAGTTTTAAATGGTTTTCCTATTCTACAAAGTGACATACGATACAATTCCAGTTCTATTTTAGCTGGAATTGTATTATAGGTAGGTTTACTCTTCGGACGATTTATGGTCAATGCTGAATTTTTACTTTTTCCATATTCGAATTCGCGTGTTCGCGTGCATAGAGTCAATTAGAATTTAGTTATTAGTAATTTGATGTATATTATTTGCAAATAAAATCAAGAGGTTAAAGAATTATACCAGGATTTCACTGCACCTCTGGATAGAGCTACTGCTGATCCCACCATTAGAGTACTAATCCAAATTCGGTCCGATTACTTTCAACTGGTGAAATGAAAACTGTAAATAAAAGTAAGTTAATATGCTTCTGTTTGTGGATTGGCGGGTGTTAAAAGATTTAGAAACATATTTTGGTCTCCATTACATTACTATTATAAAATTTTCCCTGATATAAATAATTCTAATTGCTTTTTTTTTCTACTTTAGATGATTCAGCTGTGATATTAGCGTCTCTCTTCAATACAATGATTCCACGCTAACATTGAACTAGGAAGCTCATTTGCATTCAATCAGAGTATAATAATGCATCAATTGACCTTTAATTTATCAGTAAAAAGGTATATTTTATTGCCAGATGCACTGTATGATATGCAGCACGTTCTCAATTACCTAACGATTGATTGTAACCAATAGGAGCTTGATAACAAGAAATAACTCACGCCATTGCCTATTATAATACTAAAGTGCAAGAAACTAATGATGCGCTCCGATTCCGCATTTTGCAAAAAACACCAATTTTATAACTCAGAAAAATTTTCGATTCTTCTACCAGTATTTACATGACATGAGAGTTAATGATAAAATATTTAATGATCTGTTTAAAATTAATTATGTTTAAAGTGAACTTATATAAGTGCTACATTTAAAAGGAAGTCCTGAAACGGGGTATGTAATTATTTTTGTACCTACTCATACCATCATATTTTTTTGAATACATACGAACTGTTTTTATATTATTTTTCGTTGTTACGGTTTTTGATTTACACCATAAACATACTGATCAGCCGCTT